GTTCTATGTGAGTTTGAGAAGAGTTATTTGTTAGCTGTTCTTAGATGTATTTTGCTTAAATGTCGACTTGACTAGCTTGTGTCATTGATTGTGTGAATTAATTTTATTCTAGTGGGCAGGAAAATTACTGTCTGATCACTTTGGACTTATGTGGACTTGGTTTATGTTTTATTAAAACGAATGCATGGAAAGCCCACAGCATTTCCCAAGACCCTCTAATTTGGCAATCACCAATCCACCGCTTTGTGGATTTTGTCAGGGTTTGGTTTTAGGCTTTACTAGGGTTGGTCTAGAATAGGCCTTACTGTAAAGTGTGACACTTATTCCTAAAGCACAGTCATTCTAGTGTCTCAGTTGGATACCCGGCTGCTAATGAGGTGTGTGTGAGTTCTTCCCACCCTGGATGGCAGAAACACCATCATCCATTCCCCAACCCTCCTCCACCTCAAGTACCTCTGGTCTAAACTCAGTTTGACAGCAGCCACCCCTCTGTTAAATCTGTTTGTCTTTTCCTTGTGCAGGTACAGTCCCGTCCTTGATAAGTGTGCACATGGAACCCCTCATGGACTTCGACAGCTGCCCCTCTGAACAGCTGTCTCCTCATTGCTGCCCTGCCCCACAGACTGCAGTTGCTTCAGTGGACTTCAACTCTGATCTCTGCCTTCTCACCTCAGTGGGGCTGTCCTGCTCTGAGTGGACTCCAGCCCACAATGCAGCTGCTGAAAAATTCTCCCTAAAGAACTAGGAAATCACAGGGCTCCCCCCTTAAGTTTCCTATTGTACTGCCTGTTGTCCACTGTCTGAAAACAATTTTATGCTTGTTTATGGAGGCAGGATTAGTCCGATATGATTTATTCTAACAGAAACAAGCAGAAATCTGTTATACTCTTTTAATTACTGTGTCTTTATAATATTATGGTCGAATCCTAAGATGACCCCCAGTGATCTTTGTTCTCATATAATCACTTCTTCCTGAGTGTAGACAAAAGCCAGTGATATCACTCCTGGGATTGTGTTACAATTTATGGCAAAAACACGTTAGCAGATGTAATCGAGATCTCAGATCAGTCAAATTTAATATAGAGAGATGATCTTATGAGCTTGACCTAATGAAGGTGAGTTCCTTGGAGGGACTGAGGTCTTCCTGGAGAGATGTGAAGTGCAGGAGGGTTTCCATTCAGGACGAGTCTCCTCTTCTGGCTGGAGGAAGCATGTATTGGGAACATGGGAGGCCTCCAGGAGCAGCGAGAGGCCCCTGGCTGACAGTCAGCAAGAAAACAGAGATCTCAGTTCTACAGTCACAAGGAACTGAACTCAGCTGACAACCTGAGGAAACTAGACAGCAAGTTCTTCCCCAGAAACTCCAGAAAGAAACCCAGCCTAATTTCAGCCTGGGAGGCCCTGAGAAGAAGACCCAGCTAATCCAGGCCTCAACTTCTCATCTGTGGATACTGCCAGAAAATAAATCAGTCTTATTTTAAACCTCTAAAAGCTAGCAGTAATTTAGCATGCAGCAATAGAAAATTAATACAAACAAAATGGAGAAGACGTTGGAGTGGGGACAAAAATGAAACGGTGGGAGAGGGATGCCTGTATGCTGATATGGTTGATGCCTGTACGGTTGAATTGGGTCTACCATTCCTCATCTAATTAGCTTTGGTCTATTAAGCTGCATAGCTACACACAAACATTGGTACTAGGTTGAATCCAGAGGAGTAAGATATTGCATTCTTCAGAGTAGACGAGAACACTCTGAATTTGGGGTCACTGGATCATACGTCATATAGCAGGTCCCTCTGGGAAGGCCTAGAGGAAGATTTACAGGATACACTTGAAACAACATTGAAGGCTTCTTTGTTCCCCAGAGGGACCCGATCTCCTCTCAGTCAAGAAGATTCAAGCCTCTGAACTGGATGCCAAGTTATAAATTCCCACTATACTGACTCCATCAAGCTTCTGTCCTCAGAACTAGAGTTTATCAATAAAAGATGGACTCAAGGGAGTCTAGGCATTTATTCTCCTATTTTATATAAATCACTTAATGTACATGAACAAAACAGACTTTGAAGAAAGAAAGTCACAGTTGCCACAGGAAAACAGCTTCGACATCCTCATCAGTCATCAGGGGTGTTCTGTTGGGAGGACTTGATATGAGGCTTTCCTCATCATGGGCTAGTACAGACTCGGGGGAAATGTCATCAAGTCCTCAATTCGGAGTGTAGCAGCCGGCGCTATTGATACGTTAGGCCTCTTGCTGCTGGAGATGCAAGTAGTGCATTTTCATGGCCACCACAGGTGCCCTTAGGTTAGCATTCTTCAGAGCCAGAATCTAACAAGACACAGAAGCTCTGAGTATCTCCCTTTCCTCAGTCACCCACATAAAGGACTTCAGGTCCTTCAGGGGGAGGCCTGAAGGAAGATTGACAGCACACACTTGCGGCAACATTGAAGGCTTCACTCTTCCTCAAGGGATCCATCTCCCATCAGTCAAGAAGCTCCAGGCATCTCAACTGGATGCCAGGTCATAAATTCCCACTATGGTGACTGCATCAGGTCTCTGTCCTCAGAACTAGAGCTTTTCTAATTATTACAAAAGTTCATTTCTTACTAGATTTCCCATCCATTACATTCCCAGACACCTCACAATGATCAGTAACCACCACATATCCCTACCTCTCAAGGAAATCCCTCCCGCCTTGTCTCTACATGGCCAAGTCCCACAGCCTGTCCTCTACTCTTCCAGAACCCTGTTCTTCTCACTGACAGCAGCCAGGGCAAATCCATGCAGCATCTCCCGCCATGACCTCCAGTTTGCAGACGGTAGGTACCACAGGAACTTGACAGTCACGCCACTGTTCCCCTCACCTGTGCATTTCTTAATGCCTTGGTGAGGAGAATGTCTCTGGATCTTCCTTGATGGGAGCTAAAGGAACAAAGGTAAACAATGCTATGGGACCCACTGAGAATTGGGGCTATGGAAGAGTGACCACTGAAGTAACAGACAGATGCAGATATTGCCAGATACTCAGTGCCAGAGCAGGGAGGGAGAGGGAAGAAATACAGACCTCACCTTCCTCTCACTTCCAGGCTCCATCAGGTGCCCCCCATTGCTAAACCTAACTAGAAGTGTGTACGCAGGGGAGCCAAGGATGCATTCTAGAAGGGACAAACACCAAGTGACATAAGACAGGATGGAAATGAGTGGAGAGTGGATCTGTGGGAAGCAGGAGGGGATGTTATGGGGAAACAAAAGGAGAATACTAGCTAATAATGCTAGGTAACACTAACATTCCAAAGTCTGTGCTCATATTCAGAAAAGAAAGTTCAGCATAAAGTACTAAACCAGGAGTCAAGATACTGTATTTTCAACTGCTGTTCCAACAGCTGTATTATAAAGGGCCAGTTTATGTCATGCCTTTCTAATTTGACCTAAAGTGCCAGGTGGCACTGGGGCTGGCACAGCCGTGCTCAATTATGTGTTGGAGAGTACACAGAGACTGCCAGGCTGAGGGAAGACACAAGAGAATAGAAGAGATGCTCTCAGGGAACGAGAGACCACACGGCCCCAGAGTCAGGGCAGCATCAGCCACTGTCGGCTGCTCATTTTCCCAGACACAGCCCACAAGCCTCAGCCATGCTGTGCTTTGCAAGACGCTTCTTCACCTTTTCAATAAACCTCCCTGAATTGAAGCTGACGGGGGTTTAATTTCTCCGTCATCATCAATGAAATTCTTCACCGCAACAATCTCCAATGAATTTTGGGCACAGCAGGCAGGCCCATCCCTGCTTCTGTTCCACTGTGTACCCTGTAGCTTGAAAAGGAGGACGTACTGAACTACCACCAAATGTTCCTCTGGCTCTGATATTCTGTTATTCTGGTTTCTTTTTGGCTACTTTGTTTTTGGAAGCATTCATCCTAAGGCATCCAGTTGAACAAACTTTGTCTACTGTGTCCAGGCATTCCTGGTGGGATTTCAGATAAGACACTCTTGGGTTGCTACACTCACAACCACTGAACCAATTCTATGACCATCTGTTTCATGGCCACATGTTTGTTCATTTTACAGGAACATAAAGGGAGGGGACAGACAGCAAACTTCCATGTTATAAATTGCATCATCTTAAAAAGGAAACAAGGCAACACTTTGCAATAAAACCATAAGATGCTTTAAATTTAAGCTTAATGCAATGGAGAATGCCCATAAAATTCCTGTCTAAACAATGTTTAGAAAATTGCTGAACAGGGACATCATCATTTAAAGTGATATGAAGAAACCTTCTCAGCTAAGCATATGGGCTAGGTTAGAGAAAAAGATAGAGGACCCATCTCTGCCCTGGAAAAACCACTGGTAACATCTTTCAAAAAGCTCTCTGTGTTTGAGTACGCACCTTGATCCACAAGCTCACACTGGATCCCAACTGGCCGCTGCTTCTTGGCATTAACATTAGATTCCCTACTAGTAAATCTTACTAAGATCTGACTTTCTGCAGATATGATATTATTTTGTTTGGCCATCCTTATCTTCAAGGGTAACCAAGAAGGAACAAGGAATTTATTTACCTCCCCAAGGGTAAAGGTTTTACCAATGAGACGCTTTCTTACTATAACACCAGGGCCCCCTATGCCCTGTTCACTTCAGTGCCCTTTGTGCCCTGACAGAAGCTCATGCTGGTCCCAGGATTCCGTATACGATTCACCTCCTTCCTGAATCCCAACTTCATGCTGGTGGTCATGACAGGTGTCCTGCATCCCATGCTTATGTTCCTGAAGTCATCAGCCTGTCTCCAGTTAGAAAAAATTACATGTCTATAGACAGGCCTCTTTGCAAGTAGCAAAAGCTTTCTCACCTTCATACAGTAAGGCTTGGAATGTACAATAGTATAAACACTTTGGGGAAAAATGTCTGGCATCTTCTTACAGAAATAAACAACTACCTACTCTATGACTCAGTAATTCCTAAGCATTTATCCAAGAGAAATTAAAACATATGTCCAGAAAATGATTTATACAAGAACGTTCATAGCACTTTTATTCATAATAGGAAAAACTGGAAACATTCAAGCATCTGTCAATACAACAATGGATCAATAAACTGTGATACATTCATTCCATGGAAAGCCTAAAGGAACAAACTGTTGACACACAAAACAACACGGATGAATCTCAAAAACATTTTCAGTGCAATAGGAGCCATACACAAAAGAGTGTGAGAAAAGAGATGAACAATCATGGTCTCAAGAAATGCAGAGCAGAGAGCCCAGAGGCAAAGACAGGACAGCGGGTCGGTCCCAGGCTGTGGATCCTAATTAAGAAACTCCTGCTGGATTTTGCCCAGCTCCATTTCCAAACTATTGTGGGTCAGTGACTTCTTTATCCCTTCCTTGTTCCCTCATTTTGAACTAGAATCACTGTAGTTGTTATTCCATGTCTGTCCCGTCATTTCACATTAGGGGCAGATAAGCTGTTCGTTCAGTTTCACAGGCCGACAGAGGAAAGGGAATTATGTCAAGGATCTGTACTTCATGGACACCCTAGAAGCCTCATCCACACCTGGTGTGGATGTTTTAAATGGGATTTTAAACTTTTCATCTGATGTTGTCTACATGACATTTTTCATGTTGAACTAATGCTTTAATGACATGAAATTCGGAAACCTTAAGGGAGAGGGTGAATGCATTTCGCAGTTGGGGGAATGTGAATCTGCGGTAGATGGAATTTCTGAAATGGTCCCCAAACATGCCACACCCTTGTCTCTAAAGCCCGTTAAGGTGATGAGACACCATTCCTGTGATTATGTTGTTATATGCCAGTTATATGACTTTAAGCTGGTGAGGTTACCTGCATGCACTGGATCTAATCACATCATTCCATACATGACAACTTTCTGGGGCTGGTTGGAAAAGATGAAGTCTTCTCTTTCAATATCTGTATTGAACTTTGAAAAACAGCTTGAGCTCTAGAAGAAAACACAGCCAGCCCATTCCTGGATTTTAGCCTCACATGACTCTGATCAGAGAACCCAGCCACTTCATTCCAGACTTCTGTGGTTTCAAACCACTGATTTGTGGTAATGTGATAATTGGTAGCAAGAGAAAACTAGTACAGGTGTCTGTCTCTCCTCTTGAATTTCAACTTCAGATACATGGATGCTAACCCCTCTAAGAGAAAAAAAATCAACCAACCAATCAATCAATGAAAAAAAATATTGCCCTCACCTTTATGTGGCTGTTCCAGAGCCCTTGCCACCTGAAGAAGACAACGAGGGATATTTCAGGCACATGAGGAGTGCGGCTTTACTGTTATCAATCACATTTCTGAAAGAATAAAAATGGCTGAGGTCAGGCCGTGGCCCATGTCTGTAATCGTAGCTCTTTGGGAGGCCAAGGCAGGTGGATCACTTCAAGTCAAGAGTTAGAGACCAACCTGGCCAACATGGAGAAAGCTTGCCTCTACTAAACACACAAAAATTAGCCAGACATGGCGAGTACCTGTTATCCCAGCTACTCCGGAGACTGAGGCAGGAGAATCACTTGAACCCAGGAGGTGGAGGTTGCAGTGAGCTGAGATCACACCATTGCATTCCAGCCCGAGGAATAGAGCAAAAACTCCATCTCAAAAATAAATTAATTAAATAATTAATAAAGATGGTTCATTACTTAACTCTACATATTATTATGTGAAAATGTATCATCTCGATTTTAATAGCAGATTTTTTAAAACTGCTTTTCTTTTGCTTACCAGACAAAGTCTGGTAGCAAATACCAGTCACCAACACAGATGAACCAATTCAAGGAGAGCCATAAACAGGACTACTGTTATGTTCCCCAAAAATCCATCCCTAGAATGCAATCTCTTCTCTACTTGTCACAAAATGAACACAATAGTCCACTATATAAAGTCCCAAACACATGAAAATGTAAATACCATGAAGTCTGCTTTCCAAATATTCATTCTATTCAGACCCAGTCATGGGGACCAGGGATTAGGAAATGACTACAAAGAGGTTCAAGGGAATTTGGGGAAGCGACAAAATGTGCTGAAGTAGACACTCTGCCGATGGCTGCACAATTCCATAAATCAGCTGAAATCATTGAGTCATACGTTGACAATGGGTGACTTTTATAACAAGTCATTCTTTAAACGAACTTTTGGGTTTCTAGTCCAACATGGAAAGAGCTAGGCAGTCATCACTCGTCCTCACAGCTAGCAAAAGGCTGAAGGAACTGAAAGTCAACCCTTCTAGGGTGGACCAGAGAATTGAAGTCACAGGGAAAACTGCCACCCTAAAAATGAGAAAGACAGGCGAACACACAGGGAGTCAGAGCTCACAGGAAGAGAAGCTACTGGGGACAGCAAGTGGGAGAAGAACTTAAATGGTATTGACAGATCACTAGAAGCTGAGGGTGGCCTGGTTAGTGCATTAAAACTCCTTGAGAACCAGACTAAGGGGAATCTCACATATTTCCAAGTTTTACTACAATGATCTCAACCAGGTTCTCAAGATGAAGTTCTGAAAACCCCCCTGAGGTTTGGCACTACCAACTTCAGGACTTACATTAAGCTACAGTAACCTAAATAATGTGAAGCTGGTGAAAAGAGAAAACACACACACAAATAGATCCATGGAAAAGAATACAGAGCCCAGAAACAGGCCTACCTACAGTCCATTGATCTTCCATGAAGGTTTAGAGACAACTTAAAGCAGGGAAGTTACCCTTTCCAACTAGTGGTGCTACAACAGCTGGATAACCACATGCAAAAAATATATAAATAAATCCCGGTATGCATGTTATACCCTTTATAAAACAAATCTTACATGTAAATGTAAGGTACAAAACCATAAGGATCCTAGGAGATAACATCGGAGAAAGTCTCGGGGATCTTGGGTTCGATGATGGCTTCTTAGATACAAAACCAAAAGCACAATCTACTAATGAAAAAAAATTAAGTGGAGCCTCGTTCAAATTAAAAACTTCTGCTCTGTGAAAGACACTGTTAAGAGAATGGAAAAAGCAAGTCACAGACTGGCAGAAAATATTTACAAAATAATCTGATGGAAAAACTGCTGTCCAAAATATATGAAGAATTCTGAGAACTAAACAACACAAAGCAAAAAAAAAAAAGAAAGAAAGAAAGAAAAAAGAAAGAAAAAGAAAAAAAATAGGTGAAAGATCTGAACACCTCACTAATAAGATATACAGATGGCAAATAAGTATATGAAAAAGATGCTCAAAATCATTTGGCGTTAGGGAATTGCACACTAAAACAACAATGAGATATCAGTGGAAACCTATTAGAATGGCTAAAATGCAAAAAGGTGAACACACCAAATGCTCTCAAAGATGAGGAGCAACCAGAACTCTCCATAGCCAGTAGAAATCAAAAGGGTACAGTCACTCTGGAAAACTTAAGTTCACTCAGAATCCTGCACATAAGTAGTTACAGCAATTTTATTCATAATTGCCAAAACTTGGAAGTACCCAAGATGTCTTTCACCAAGTGAATGGATAAGCAAACTGTGTTGTAGCCCCACAACGAAATCTGATTCAGTGATTCTAAAAAGCAAGCTATCAAGTCATAAAAAGACATGCAGGAACTTAAAATACATAATGCTAGAAAGAAGTTAGTCTGGAAACCTACATACTGTACGATTCCAACTCTAGGACATTCTTGGAAAGTCAAAAAGAGAGAAGTAGTAAAATGATGAGTGGTTGTCAGGACTGGAAGAGAGGAGGACGCACGAAATGGTGAAGCACAGGGAACTTTCAGCAGTGAAACTATTTTGCATGACGCTGTATTGGGGATTTAGGACAATATGTAATTGCCAAAATCCATAATCTGTGAAACTCAAAGAATGAACTCTACTGTAAACTATAGACTTTAGTTGATAACGATGTATCAATAGTGGTTCATCAATTGTAACGAATGAACCACACTAATACAACATACTTATAGGGGAAATTGTGTGCTGGAGGACAGGGGAGCCTAGGAGAACTCTCTGTACTATCCACTCAATTTTTCTGTGAACCTATAACTATTCTAAAAACTAATATCTATTGGCCAGGTGCGGTGGCTCAAGCCTGTAATTCCAGCACTTTGGGAGGCCCAGGTGGGCGGATCACGAGGTCAGGAGATCGAGACCATCCTGGCTAACACGGTGAAACTCCATCTCTACTAAAAAATACAAAAAAACGAGCCAGGTGAGGTGGCGGACGCCTATAGTCCCAGCTACTTGGGACGCTGAGGCAGGAGAATGGCGAAAACCCGTGAGGCAGAGCTTGCAGTGAGCAGAGATCCGGCTACCGCACTTCAGCCTGGGCGACAGAGCAAGATTCCGTCTCAAAAATAATAATAATAATAATAATAATGTCTATTAATTTCTTTTAATTAGGTTGCAGCAGCCCCATATCAAGGTTTTGGTGGCATCCTGTTATTGTGTGGTTAGTACTTGGCATTGAAGTGCACCAACCTGGAGTCAGAGCAGTTGGAGATTTCCAGGCCTGTGCCATTTACCTCGAATCCTGGGGTGCCCCGGAAAACAGCAGGTCAGTTAGGGAGAAGCAGCCTCAGCAATCTAGATAGTGCAGGTTTGCGGTAAGGACAGGTACAAACCATCGAGGTAGGCAGACCTTGGTGAAGACTAGAAACCACTGAGACTCAGCAGTTGCCCCAGTGGAACCCACAAATCCTAGGAGGCGCTGGGAGGAGCTAAGGGCTACTGGATGAGCTCCCTGCCTACAACACAGAAGCAGCTCCAGAGATTCTGGTAAATAATGTGGGTTTCAATACAGTGTGATCGACTCAAAAAAGTAGAGAGAACGAAAAGGAAAGAAAAAGAGAGAATATGAGAGAGAAAGAAAAAGAAAAGAAATGAAAAAAGGAAAGAAGTGAGGGAGGGAAGGAGGAAGGAAGGGACGAAGGGAGGGAGCGCGGGAGGGAAAGAATAAAGAGAGAGAAAGTTGGAAGGAAGTAGGGAAGGAAGTTAGGAAGGAAGGAAGGAAGGAAGGAAGGAAGGAAGGAAGGGAGGGAGGGAGGGAGGGAAGGGAGGGAGGGAGGGAGGGAGGGAGGGAGGAAGAAAGGGAGAGAGGAAAGGAACAAATTTACATGAAGATGAGAACATTGGGGAACTTACACCACCAATATTTTCCATTAACAGGAACACGCTAACTAGTGATTAGAGAAAGACGCACTACTGTAAAACCATATACTGTTTCCATGGGGTACAACCCCTTCCTCCTCCTCTGAAACACATTCTGTCTCTCGCCCACTGTTGCCAGAGACTCCAGAATCTACCTGGCTGCATTTGGGGGCCTCAGCCCCTGGGTCTGATGTCATCCATTTGCCTTTCTCACTGGACTTCTCTCCTTGCACTGGCTCCCACTCCCCCAGGATCTGGTGGGCGACCACGTGAGAAGGACACAAACAGGCCATGCCCCTTTCTTTCTCCCCTTCTCAATGCCTGCAGTGGTGGGTTCTGTGGGGTAGTGACCTGAGATTTATTCATTATGGGACCTCTAGCCCAGAGCAGGGCCTGCTACCTAATAGTCACCCCATGAAAGCTCAGGGAAAAAAGGCATCCACCACAAGGTCCTGGGGAACCAAGAATTCCACTGTGGCCCATAAATTCTAAGTCCTACAGGATTCTGGAATGGGAGATGGGACAGGCCTTCAAAAGTGGCCACTCTTTTAACCCATTATACTGTCAACTGAGCCATGTTTCCCCATCCTGGACACATCTAGAGGGCACCGCCTAAAACCAGGCACATCTCCCCATCCAGGAGAGAGTAGGGGCCTGAGCCTGGGGGATGCAGGGGGACAGGGAGGGGATGAGCCAAGAAAGCTGAAGAGGAGAAAGCAGGTGTAAGGGGACAGCAGGGTGGAAACAGAGAGAAAAGGGGGCAGACAATGGGGGGTGAGAGGGGAAGAGTGAGGAGGGGGATGCAGATCTAACTACTCAGGAAAAGTCCTGGAGAGAACACTGTCCTCTCCTGAAGTAAAATCACTTCCACCTGACCACGGCACTGCAGGTCGTGGGCAGCACACACTGGGAATATTTGTTCATTCATTTAATAAATATTTACGTAATATCTGTTTCATGCCAGGCAAGGCCCTGTGATGTTTAGGGACCTTGGCATCTTCCCTTCACATCTGAGTCACAATAGAAAGAGGACTCTCTGACTCCATCGAGCCGGCAATGCCTCGGGATTTTTACCTGTTTGATCTGGCAGCTCTTCATGTCGGCCCACACCGTGTGAGGCTGCTCTTGGTGCACCGAATGGGGAAGTTTCTGTATCAGTGCCTCGGAGAGTCCACCGGAAGCCCTGGACAGTGGGAGTCGGTGGCACCCCAGCGTGGAGGCCGAGAGCACACAGCACTGAAGCTCCAGACACCCTCAGGAGGACAGGAAGGGACAATCGGCTGGTGAGAGCCTGGGTCACCAGGAACCTTCGCCTGGTTCTAAACAGGATTTGCCTTCAGATTGCCTGTGAGATAAAAGAGAGAAATCAAGGTTAACATTGAGATTTGGGGCTTCGGCAACTTGAAGGATGGAGCTGCCATTTACGGAGACAGGGAAGACCCAGAGAAGAGCAGCTTGAAAGGTGGTGGGGAACTAGAGTTGGTTGGGTTTCTGTCATATGTAATCAACAGTCCTGACCAGACTGGGCAACATAGTAAGACCCCATCTCTGAAAACGAAAACTGAAAAATTACACGAGCATGGTGGTGCACACTTGCAGTCTCAGCTACTCGGGAGGCTGAGGCAGGAAGATTCCTTGAGCCTTCACTTAGAGGTTAGTGAGCTATGATGGCACCACTGCACTCCAGCCTGGGGGGAAAAAAATAAAGAGTCCTGACTAAATACTTGAGTAGCCAGGGAAGTTTTCACAAAGTAAGTAATATTTGAGGCACATCTTAGTGAACGAGAATTCGATTATTTCTGTTAGGGAATTAAAAGAGTGTGGGTGTAGTTAGTTAATGCTTACTGAACTATCTTTGGAATCTCATCTACTGATCTGTACACATATATTCTATATGCTGCCTCACTGAGCTTTCGCTAGGTTATGCTACAGTAACAAAAGCCCCAAAATCTTAGCGGCTCCACATACAAAGGTTTATTTTTCATTGACATTTCCTTTTATGGCAGGTTGACTGTGACTCTGCTCTATACAAGCTATTTTATTTGTTAGATGGTGAAAACTGTGATACTTGGAGATTGCTGAATATGGTATTAGTATGTTCATTCATTTATTCATTTAACAAATATTGATTCAATATCTCTTTCATGCCAGGCAAGGTCAAGTATTGAGAATACAGTGGTGAATAAAAGAGACAAAATCTCTAATTTCCAGGAGCTAATATTGAAAATAACATTAAACACAATCATCATAATAACAACAATGAATATTCATAAATAACAGCTGTAAGACATTTTAGTAAATCTTTTAAATTAGAAAAATATAAAAATTATTAAAACTAAAAAGGCCAGGTGTGATGGCTCATGCCTGTAATCCCAACACTTTGAGATGCCAAGGTGGGAGGACCATTTGACCCCAGGAATAGGAAACCAGTCTGGGCGCTACAGGAAAACCCTGTCTACAAAGAAATAGAAAATTAGCCGGGCATAGTGGTGCCTTCCTGTAGACCCAGCTACTAAGGAGGCTGAGGTGGAAGGACTGCCTGAGCCTGAGAGGTCAAGGCTGTAGACAGCCAGGATCATACCACTGCACTCCAGCCCGGGTGACAGAGCGAGACACGGTCTCAAGAAAAAAAAAACCATATATATATATATATATATATATATATATATATGTATATATAGTCGATGTGTCCTTAAACTATTATGTAGAATACTATTATTTACATCACATCACGTGAGCCCTTTCAATGGCTGAACACTTATTTCAGTGCGATCCATACAGCGTTCTGGGAACTAAGTACACCTAAGAACAATTCAGTATGAAAGAGTTACTGCCTTGACAGGAAGATGCAAAAATTTTTAAAGAGAATGAAAACTGTAGCTCTGTGAGACTCAAATAACATCTCATTCAAGTCACAATGAACATCTAGCAATCATTCTGAACACCACATAATTCACTTAACACATTTTGCCTGAACGCCCAACACATCTGAATGACCAACACCTGTATGTAGCCAAGAAACTGACAATCATTTTTAAATTATCACCTATGACTCCATCGGCTCTACGCACTTACTTTTTAAATGTTATTCATGTATTTATTATTTTTATTTTTTGTAGAGACGGGATCTCACTATGTTACCCAGGTTGGTCCAGAAACAGAAACAGACCCACACTAATTTCAGAAATCAGATGACCATACAGTCATTAGATTTATGAAAAAAAGTGCCACACGATGCAGGAGGAAAAGGATGGTCTTTTCAATAAATGGTGCTGGATCAAGCAGACACAACCATGTTGTAAATAGTGAATCATAGCCAAGTGGGGTGGCTCACGCCTGTAATCCCAGCACTCTGGGAGGCTGAAGGCGGGCAGATTACTTGAGCCCAAGAGTTCGAGATCAACCTGGGAAACATGCTGAATCTCCATCTCTACAAATACGAAAATCAGCCAGGCATGGTGGCGCATGCCTACACTCACAGCTACTCAGGTGGCTGAGGTGGGAGGATCACTTGAGCCAGGAGGTGGAGGTTGCAGTGAACTGAGATCCTGCCACCGCACTCTAGCCTGGGCAATAGAGTGAGGTCCTATCTGGGGAAAAAAAAAAAATGCAAAAACTAAAATAAAATTGCTGTAAGGTTAACACAGAAAAATGTGTTCATACTCTTAGGTTAGGCATTGATTCCTTAACCAGGACACAGAAACCAGTAACCATACAGGAAAAGATTGATAAAGTATAATTTCATTAAAATTAAGACGCTCAGGCTGGGTACAGTGGCTCATGCCTATAATCCCAACACTTTGGGAGGCCGAGGCAGGTGTATCACTTGAACCTAGGAATTCCAGACCAGCCTAGGCAATGTGGCAAAACCCTATCTCTACTAAAAATACAGAAAAGAGCTGAGTGTGCTGGTGCTCCCCTGTACGTCCCAGCTACTTGGGGGCTGAGGCAGGAGCATCACCTAAGCCTTGGGAGGTCAAGGTTGCAGTGAACTGTGATTGTGCCACTGTACTCCAGCCTGGGCAACAGAGTGAGAGCCTGTCTCAAAAACAAACAAACAAACAAAAAGTCAGAGTATCTCCATCATGAAAAAACACCATTAAAAGAGTAAAAAGGCAAGCTACAGATTGAAAAAAGGGAAACGCAATACATATATATCCTAGAAAGGATGCATATCCAGAATAAAGTATTACAAATCTACAGAAAAACAAGCTTATCAATGAAAACGGGATAAAAAGATTTAACAGGCCCTTCACAAAACAGGACATATAAATGGCAATAAAAGACACTCAATCTCAATGAAACCACACTGATACATTACTGCACCCCTACTAGAATGGCAAAATAATTTTTAACTGACAGGCATCAGCAAGGACGTGGGGAAACCAGAATATCCCTGTTAAATGGTACAACCATTTTGGGAAAATGTTCAACAATATGTAATACTAAAGTTTATCATTCATATACCTCTAAAACCAACAATGCCACTCCTACAAATATACCCCAGTCTAGTAATGTTCTATTTCTTGATCTGCGGTGGTTTACTTGATAAAAATTCATTACCTTTTGGTTTTTTGTTTTGTTTTTGTTTTTGAGACAGGATCTCACTCTGCCATGCAGGTCGGAGTGCAATGCCATGATCATGGCTCACTGCAATCTCAGCCTCCCGGGCTCTGGTGATCCTCCCACCTCAGCCTACTGGGTTGGGATCCCACCACACACAGCTAACTTTTGTATTTTTAGTAGAGATAGGGTTTTTCCACATTGCCCAGGCTGGTTTGGGAATCCTGGGCTCAAGTGATCTACCCATCTTGGTGTCCCAAAGTGCTGGGATTACAGGTGTGCTCTACTGCGCCTGGACCACCTGCACATTTAAAATTGTGAACTTCTTCTGTATACTTCAGTACCTTTTCAAAGATTTCTTTGACACAAAGTTCTCAGAAATCTTAAAGCTAGCATTTCAGAATAGAAAAAAACAGCTCCTGGTTCACTGCTGAAATTTTACTAATAAAATTTAAAAACAAAAAGAAAGCTACTAACGCATATCAGCCCCGAACAAAGATTAAACACTACCAGCAGATCTTTCTTTAATTTTGTGACGCACTGGGATTCATTCTTTCGGCAAAGAAAGGATGAACACTGTAACCCAAAGAAAAGAAAAGACTTCTTTTCGAAAGTGGCTCTAGCAGCAAAAGACAAGAGGAAAGCAAGGAAACCATGCCAAGCGTCTTGGTTAACTCTTCGGTGAAAGGACGCCAAATGACAGACAGACAGACAGACAGACAGACACAGGGAAATCACAGCAACTCTTTGCAGTGCAAACACCAACCCCACAATCCATCCTTCCGGAAATCCTGCGGTTAATTTGAGGCTTGCCCCGCTAGTCATGAGGTGATTCGGTGATAGCCACGAACGCTCCTCATGTGCATCCTGGACCTGGCACACCTGCCTTGCCCATCGCCAGCCTGGAGACACCGCCAGGAGCAGAATCCCGGAGGCCAATAAAGACTCCAACTTTGCAAGCAGAGGGAACTGATTTCTGGACTCCAAGGTGGGGTCCGGGGTCAGTGTCCTCTACATGACATAGGACGACGTGCCCCCGAAGCTGCTCCGTCCCTCCACCGCCTGCGATGCCACACAACACCCGCCAGCGACTTTCTTCCCCAGCGCGCACCAGAGGTGGGCTGCGGGCGGCAACAGCAGGGGAAGAATCGAGCTCAGGGAACTCAGGCCCCGGCCGTGCACCCCCCAAACCCACCACCCCTCGCCCAACAAAACTTGCCAGGCCGCGCCTCAACCCAGCTGTGCGCCCGCGGGTCCCGGATTCACCGCCCGCCCAGCCTGGCGGGGCGTCCTCACCTCGGAAACGCTGGGTGGACTTCGCCATAACTTCCCATCCAGAGGGCAGCCGGCAGCCGCGCCGCCCCGCTTCGGCCCAGCTCCTGGCGCAGCAGGTCGCCCGTCCCGCGTTCCAAAAGCGCCATGCTCACTCAGAAGCTTAGGCAGCCTCGCGACCCTCACCTACCCCTCCCAGTACCGCCGCGGTCTCAACCACCACCCAGCCCCTCGCCGCCGCGCCTGCGCCCCACTGGCTCCTCAGGATCAGGCTTGGCCGCGTCAGGAGAACCCAAGGCGCAGGCGCGGAGGAGCCTTAAAGGGCCCCGGCCGCCTTTACTGCATAAAGGTTCGAGCAGGTTAGGGGCTGCGCGGTCCGAGAGAAGGAGTAACCGAGGGAATGGTCCAAGTGCCGCGGGGACAGGGTAATCCCTCTCTCCTCTCGCCTCTCTGTCAAAGCACCAGCCCACGACTCTGCAAGTCGCTGATTTCCCCAGCCGCTATGGAAAACAGTCAAGATGACAGCATCATCACTCATGAGACTGTTGTGACCACACAGGCAGAGCACTTGGCAGGGGACCTGGCGTGCAGAGCGTCTTCAACACATTATACTCACTGCACGTGTGAGTCTCTGGGAGGGGCACGTGGCTCTGCCATCCCGCGGCTTGCAGCTGTTAAGGAGGCGGTGCTTCCAGGGAGAGGCCATCTGAAGACCGAACCTTGCAATGCGCCCCATTAGTGCCACAGGATGGCAAGGGAGATTGAGCATGGGCTGGGGGTTGGAGGGCTCTGGAGGGAGCTTGAAGCACGGACAGGACTTGGGGTGGTGTTATCCGGGGGAGGGGGCCAGAGAAGTCCAGCGGTGGAGACAGTATGTGTGGGGCATCCACGCAGTGGCTGGAGCATCCAGCGGCAGGACGGGGGACATTCCACCCTCTCTCCCTTCCCTCGTTCCTGCTCCACAAGGCCATGTTGTCCTCAGAGCTGAGGGAGAGCAAGTCCTGAGAGTCGGGGAGACCTAGGGAGGGCACAAACCCTGGCCTGACTGTGGCTACCCTGGACTTGATCATCTGTGCTGGGCAACAACCAAAAGAGCATAAGCAGAGTGGGGCATGAACGCTTCCCTCTGCGGATTACCCGGCTTTCCCCTACTCCTAGGGCCTCAGGCCAGGCTGCGACGGGGAATGTGAGAGAAAAAGGAGCAAACTGCTTTCTGAGGCCAAGCACTGAATTCTCAGAGCCCAGGACAGGGTCTCTAACCAGGCATGACAGGGCCTCCCTGCAGTCTGTCAGCGTCCGGGGTGTCAGGGCTACCAGGAAAAAGCCCAGCAGAGGCAGCTGCAGGAGCAAGGGGCAGGGGAACATGGAGACTGCTGGGGGTTTCTGAGCCTGCCCATGGCTGCCTGCTGGCCTCCTTGCCTGCAACAAGGCTGTGGGTGAGCAGAAAAGTGAGATTGACTGCCACTGGGTAGCTGCCCACCACGGGTCCGGCCCAAAGCCTCTCACACCCTAGGCAGCATTGGTGCAGCATCCTCAGCCTCGTCACTATTGATATCTTGGGTGGGACAAATCTCTTTCATGTCAGGTGGCGGAGGTGGGCCACCCGTGCATGGTAGAATGTTTAACAACATCTCTCACCTCTAACCCCGAAGCCTACCCCTTGTAACAACCAAAATGTCTCCAAGTATTGCCACATGTCCCCTGGGGTGATGGGGCAAAATATGCTGCTTAGGGCGTGAGAGGCTTTGGGCCGGACCTGTGGTGGGCAGCTGCCCAGTGGCAGTCAATCTCACTTTTCTGCTCACCTGCAGCCTCGTTGCAGACAAGGAGGCCGGCGCGCAGCCATGGCCAGGCTCAGGAGCCCCCAGCAGAGATTCTCCGTGTTCCACTGCTCCTTGCTCCCGCAGCTGCCTCTGCTGGGCTTTCTCCTGGTAGCCCTGACACCCCAGATGCTGACAGTGCTTAAGAGCCACTGGATTCAGGAAAGGAGAGGTAAAGTCTTCTTTTCAAAGTAGAAAATAATTCATGGTCTTTCATTCATTCCACAAATATTAGGCAATTGTGTTTTGCTAGGCACTGAGGACATAGTGTTCACAGTCTGGTGTTCATCTACAGCAGACCAGGCACCCAAATGTACCTAGATGTTTATTTCCTTTCATTCTTGCTCCAAATCTATTCATTATCCTCCTAAATGGGAAATGTGACCCTTAGGAAGCAGCATGCGTCTCCTCCTGGAAGTCTTCCCAACCCCAGGGTGGGGCCAAATGCCTCTCTGTGTAGCCCAGAAGCTGTGTCTAGCTCCACTCTCTTTGCGAGACCCTGAATCTTCATTCTAATTCCCCCCCCCCAAAATGTGTCTTCCTGCAGAGCACCGACACCTATTCTAACTCTCCCCACTCTCTCCTTAACTTTGCTGCCTGGATAAGCCTTTAGCCTCATATGGAAATGTAACTTCTAAGAACTCAACTGCGTAGGCTCGGGGCTGCAGGGTGGGGAAAATAAGAGCCATCTCTGTATTAGCTTCCCTCACAGCTGTGACTCCTGTCCAAACTAGATGTTGGCCTCCACTGTCCTTCTGCAGGGAAGCCACAGCTGGAATACAAAGAGGAATGAAAGAGGAAATCCCCAGGCCCTGCACTTCCAAGGGCCCACATCGAGATCTGGCAGTAAGTTCAGAGTGATTTTTAGTATGCAATTTTTTTTTTTTAACCTATGTAGACCTTAGAAGCTAAACCCACCCACATCTTGCCACAAGGCTCTTCAGATCTCAGGCACTCAGCAAGGTGCCCAGCACATCATAGGTGCTCTGCAAAGGTTCATGGAATGAAATGAGCTGAAGCTGATACTATCGCTTTGTTACTTCTATGATCATTCTAATTTCATAGAGAAAGCGCAGTGCACCATGATCCACACTGAATGGCTCCCTGCCTAAGGGAAGCTATTGTTTGCAAAATGTCCTCAGCCAGGAAGCACAGCTCAGGTGGTAGCAGCTTCCCAAACTGCAAGTGCAGCACAGAAGGCTGACAAAAACGCTCCTGGCATGGCCGGCTTGCAACCCCAGCCCCTAAGGACAAGGACCCGATCACACAAACTCTGACGAGGTCAAGTGTCTCTCCGAGCCCCCACCGGGCAGCAGTGCCTGCAAAGCAACCCCTGTCACCCTCCAGAGGAGGCTCATGGGAGCCCATCAGCCCTGTCGGGACCTTGGGACCCTCCACTCAAACACCTGTTCTAAGAGCTTCCCCCAAGACGGGATGAGAGAGGGTACTACATGCAAGGCCAACATGCCAATGAAGTACCCTGTGCTGTTCATTAAAACCTGAAAATGGAGGTTGGGAATTTAACAATCCAAGTGCAAAGAAGAGAGGTTTTGGGGACATTTTTAATACATCTATAATCTTTCATTAACAGCTAGAAATTTAGATTGCTGTACATAAGCGATAGACAATGAAACAGAAAAGGTATTTCTGCAAGCCTCTCAGCTGTCAGCTCTGTGAGCAGCTGGGAGGGTCACTCTGTAGTCATATGTCACACCTCCCTGGAGAAGGCCTGTTGAGCCAGGGGCACCTTAGGAGGCCAGGGTGCAGCACCAGAAGCACGGGCCTTGGCTCACCAGGGCTAGAGCAGCAGCCAGCCCCAAAGAGGCAGGAGGGTTTACAAAAGGACAAGAAATTGATGGAATCGCCCAAGTCTGCAAAGCCCTGCTCCTCCCTCCAGCTTCCCCATCCCCACTCCTGGATGGGCAAGGGCGGGGGGCAGGGACTAGAGGGGCTAATGGAGCAGGTAATGGAGTGACCTTCTGGGGTGAACACCACTATTGTGTCCCCTCCTACAGACAAGGGAACAAGCTCAGCAGGGCTGAGTCACTTGCTCCTGAGACCCAGTCCCCTGGGTCGCTGGTGGTTCTGCTCATCTTGGATATAGCCATTTATAGTGTTTGCTCCAGACTATCTTTCCAAGAATGTTTGAATAGTGAACAACTTGGAAGATAGAGGCTGTCTCCCTCCAGGCCAGAGGCAGGCTTGTTTGGACTCCAGTGTAATAAAGATAATGTCCCCCTCAAGGGCAAAGGCCAGGCAGGTGTGCTTGTAGTCCACTCGGCAAGACAGGGTTCCTCAGATGGGGTCCTTGGCTGGGACACAGACCCCCTACATATGCAGCATCCACCTGGGCCTCTCAGTATCACAGCCATGGGGTTTAGAGGCAGAGGGGACCCATGAGGACCATGAAGCTTGGGCTGCCTGCTGGGTGGCAAGTAACAACAACAGCTGTCTCTGCCCCGGGAATTTCATGTCTTCTGCCAGCATCCAGGGAAGGGTAGCAGGCTCACCTCTTAGCTTCAAAATATGGTGAAATCACAGACAGTCCATAATTATTGGTGCTTGCCCAAGCCCACACAGTCACAGTGGCAGGCTAGGATTCGATCTCAACAGACTCCAGCACCACATGTTTCCCGGGCTGTGATCTGGGGACCATGCATCAGAGAGAACTACTGGGCTCCTCCACTGACCCACAGAATCACATCTCCAGAGAGAGATATGAGGTCTACGCTCCCTCAAGTCCCCGTATCAGCCCACAAGCATCCCCAAGTCTGAAAGGCTCGCCCTCCACGGCGACGCCCCATTCTCTAGTGCGCACAAGTCACGGACATCTGGGCTTGTAGAGCTCCTGGTCAGCCTGGGGGGTTGGTGAATTATGGAGGACAGACAAAGAGAGCCAAGAAAAGACGGCAGGTCAGCACAGGCCCACACTGCTTAAAGTGTGGTGTTCCCTGGGCCCAGACTCTAGAACTGCTACGTGAGGCCCTGGGCCACCCAATCCTGGGCCCCTCCTGGTAGCAGGGACAGTGGGGACTTGTCTGTTTTGTTTGCTGCTAGGCCACCCCCCCCCCTCCCAGTGCCTAGAATAGCACCTGGCACATAGGAGGGACTCAAAAGTTACTGAAGAAAGGGACAGGAGGAGAAGGGAAAGATGGAGGCAGGGAGAGAGGGGGCAAGGAGAAGAAAGGGGGTCAAGACAAGGTGCCCTTGAGGGCTGAAACTGGGATGCTGCATCCAGGTCCCAGAGTCCAGAAAGCTCAGCAAGTGCAGCCTGCCAGCCGGAGACTCACTCAGAAGCCCCATTGCCAGATCAGGCCTGTACCATGCACCTACCCAGCAAAAACATGCTGAATGAATGAGTGAGTGAGTGAGTGACACCTCGCAGTGACATCCCGTACCTGGACTTGCAGGTGCGGGTACCAGATGGTGCAGAGGCTGTAGTCCCCAAGGCTGTGGTTGTCACTGTGCAGAAAGGACACGCATATAAAAAGTGTGTAGCTCTTAACTGCACCCAATGAGTGAGGAAACAGGCTCAGGACCCCAAGGAATCTCACCCCAGAGCAAACTGCTGGAAAGTGGGGGAGGCAGGAAGCTGCCAGGAGCTCTCCAGACTCCAAATCCAGTGCTCTTTTCCCTGAGGCTGATGGCAAGGGCACAACCCACCCCAGAGTGCCCCTCAAAGAGCCAGGGCCCCCAGATGCCTCCAATCTATGACATCTCAGTGGCCCACCCCAACCAGAAGAGGGTCCGGACGGTTGGCCTGCCTGCTGCCGAACAAATGGGGTCGCCAGCAGCCACCTCGAGGTGCACCATTAAGCTGCAGAGGCTGCAGCTCAGGCTGAATGTCACTTTATGAAGCTTTCCCGCTGGCATTAAAGGTTTGCCATGTCCAATCTCACTCATGCCACCGGCACCCTGCTCAGCATGCGTGCTGAATCATTAAAGGGAGAACAATGTTTCTGAGAAGAACCGCTGTGGCCTTCTCCAGGAAAACAGCCTCTCGGAAGCCAGGGCCAGGGGCAAAGCCTCTGACAGAGAGGCCAATGGGACCCAAGGGTCCAGGTCCCCGCCTCTCCTTGCCCAGTGGCCTTTTCTAAGCAGCCTGGGGCTGGCTGTCGGTGTTGAAGCCAACTAGCTCTGTGTCTTCCCGGCTGGCATCTGCTCTGCTGAAAATATAGCTGTTTGTCTAGGGATTGTGTTTTCCTTGGAAAGTTTTTTTGGTAAGTTTGCTTTGGGGTTTTGGAAAGAGAAGACTGGGTTTTTGTTTGGATTCAGGGGATACCCATGCAGGTTTTTTACATGAGTATATTGCGTGACGCTGAGGTTTGGCCTTCTAACGATCCCACCACCCAGGTGGTGAACATAGAACCTGATAGGTAGTTTTTCAGCCCTTGCCCCCTTCCCTCCCCTCCCCTGTCTAGTAACCCCCCAGTGTCTGTGTATACCCACTGTTTAGCTCCCCATCATGGGTGGGCACATGTGTTTGGTTTTCTGTTTCTGCATTAATTAGCTTAGGATAATGGATTCCAAATGCATTCATGTTGCTGCAAAGGCCACAATTTCACTTTTTATGGCTGTGTAGTATTCCATGGTGTATATGTACCCCATATTCTTTATCCAATACACTGCTGATGGGCACTTGGATTGATTCCATGTCTTTGCTATTGTGAATAGTGGTTCAGTAAACATTTGAGTGCAGGTGTCTTTTTGGTAGGACATTTATTTTCTTTTGGGTATATACCCAATGATGGGATTGCTGGGTCCAGTGATAATTCTGTTTTTTGTTCTTTGAGAAATCTCCAAACTGCTTTCCACAGGGGACGATCTCATTTGCATTCCCACTAACAATGGATAAGCATTTTCTTTTCTCCAAAGCCTCAACAACATCTGTCATTTTTTTACTTTTTAATAATTGCCATTCTGACTGGCTTGAGATGCTGTCTCATTGTGGTTTTGATTTGCACGTCTCTAATGATTAGTGATGTTGAGCATTTTCTCATGCGTTTGTTGGCCAACTTTATGTCTTCTTTTGAGAAGTGTCTGTTCATGTCCTTTGCCCACTTTTCAATGGGATTATTTGGTTTTTTTGCTTGCTGAATTGTTTAAGTTCCTTATAGATTCTGGAAATCAGACCTTTGTCAGACGCAGTTTGCAAATATTTTCTCCCCTTCTGCAGGCTGTCTGTTTACTCTGTTCATGTTTTAATAGTTTCTTTCACTGTGCAGAAGTCCCATTTGTCTATTTTTTATTTTGTCACATTTGCTTTTGGGTTCTTCATCACAAATTCTGAAAGACATTCTTTTGAAAACAAACTCTCAGGCATGCCAGTGGCAACTGTGCCCCTGAAGGGGTGGTGGCCCATGCACAGCTTCTGTCTCCCATCAGTCCGTGCACAGCTTCTGTCTCCCATCAGTCTGGTCCTCCAGTAGCGGTGAGAGTCTCCTCAGTTCTTGTCTGTTCCATCAGGCCAGCCCACCATCTGGGCCCCAAACTCTAGTTTGCAGCCCTGGTTGGGATGTCCGTGCTCTGGGCTGAAGACCACAGTGGACCTCTGCACAGACGTGCCTCCCCCACCAGCAGTGTGCCTGCTGCTCTGTAGCCCCTGAGATTCACAGGAAAGCCAGGTGTAAGGTTTGGTAAAAATGAATTCCAGCACCCTCGCTCGTGCCTGTGGGGTGACCTGTGCCTTCCCCATGATTTCTGCAAGCCCTGGGGCCTCTGCCATCCTACTCTCATCTGCTCCGGGTCTGGCATCTGCTGAGCTCTCTTGACTCACTGTCTCTCACTCAGCTGTCTCTTCTCTTGTCTCTGCGATGAAGCTTCTACCATTCTCAGCCCCCACTCCCAACACCTCCCTACATCCTCTGCCTGCATCAGACCTGACGAAGGTTTCTTCAGGGGGATTTTATAGTCAGAATGACAGAGTAGAGGAAGGCAGGTGGGAATATTGGCAGGCCTTTGGCCACCCAGCCACTTCTCAAAGGCGGTGCTTTCTGGAAGGTTCTCCAATTAGAAGCACCCACCAATCAGAAAAGTTAAATCAAGGAAGTTCCTGAAACAAAGAAGGATTCAGTGCTTTAGTTCTGGATGCCCAAGTAGCAGGCACCAGTAGAAGGACCTTCACACCAGCTCCTGAGCCTGCATTCCTGTGTCAGCAAAACACCATCCTAGTGTCAGCATCAAATCCTGTAACCGACTGTGAGTCTCTGGGCCGGGCTCTGTGCACACAGGACCCCTGAGACGTCACTCCACCTTTGGATGTGAAATGCCCAGGGTTCAGCCCTTTGCAAACTGGAGAATGCCAGGAAGACCATGGGAGGTAAGATGCTTGCCTCAAAACTCCCTGGGCTGAACGAGGACCCCTAACCCTCCGGTCTGTTCTGGGCCTCTAGGAAACACCCCAGAAAGGTCAGCTCACACAAGGGACCCCCAGGGACATCAGAGTACATGACAGACCAGGTGCTACCTGGAACTGAGGAGGCCAATGAAGGCAGGCAGGTGTCCTTCCATCACCCACGCTTTCCCTCCCCTCACTCAGCGAACTGCCTTGGAGGGTATTTCCATGGACACTCAGTGGGCAGGAGCCTCCGGTGCCTCTGGTGGGGTAGCCACAGCCCTTACAGGCAAGGCCCTGCCGTAGCTGACCCCTCCATCCCCAGGCACCCACCCCGCCTTCTCTAATGAGTCCATGGCCCCCTATCTCCTGCACCTTAAGGGACCTGGAACCTTAACGGGCCACACACAGCCTCCCCTGTCTCTGCGAACCTGCCACTGAAGGCCTCTGCCAGGGCTGCTTCCTCCCACAGGCCAGAGCAATTTACCTGAATCATTTACGGTGGCATAAAGGTGGTGGAACGTTTGCAATCCTGAGCAGCCCCCTTGGGAACCACTGCCACCCTGCAGCATTCCCAGGGAGCCCCCAGCCCTTACCCAGGCTCAGGGGGTGGAGGAACCATCTGAATCCCACTTCCCATGGCTCTCCAATTAAGATAATTATAGATTCAAGTGCAGTTGTAAGAAATAATATAGAGAGATCCATGGACCCTTTACGCTGGGCCTCCCGCTGGGCCTGCTCCAGCTCCTCCTCCCGCCCACTCAGCTGCCGGGAGAGCTGGCCCCCACCCAGAGACTGAGCAGCACTCCCAGCATCCCCCAGCTTGTTCATCATGCAGCACCCCAACTTGGGGCCTAACCTAGTCCTGGCAGAAGGCCTGGGTTCAAGCCCAGGGTCTGCCCTCATGTGCTATATGTACTTGGGCAAGTCATGACCTTCTCTAGATCTGCAATGCACGTGTGTACAAAAACGAGGGCCCGGCCGGGCACAGTGGCGCATGCCTATAATCCCAGCACTTTGGCAGGTGGATCACTTGAGGTCAGGAGTTCAAGACCAGCCTGGCCAATGTGGTGAAACCCTGTCTCTGCTAAAAATGCAAAAATTAGCCGGACATGGTGGTGCACGCCTGTAGTCCCCACTACTTGGTACGCTGAGGCAGGAGAACAGCTTAAACCATGGAGGCAGAGGTTGTAGTGAGCCCAGATCGTGCCACTGCACTCCAGCCTGGGCAACAGAGCAAGACTCTGTCTCAAACACACACACATACACACACACACACACACACACACACACACACCCTGCAGGGCGGCTTTGTCTTCCTCCAGCTGTGGGCCGGGTACGAATGGGGCCTCATAAGCAGGGCATTCCTCCCAGGACCAGGAGGCCTCATCCACCCACCCACCAGCCACAATATCCCAGGGGAGGCTCCCAGGGAATGAGGGGCAGTGCCCTTGGGTGTGTGGGACACTGGGGAGGGGGAGATGAGGGCCCACGGAGCTTCCGTGCTCTGACACCGAGAGAGGATAGACAGACAGACGGAGACAGACAGAGAACCAGAGACAGAAAGGGAGGCACGGGTCAAGACAGGTACAGGGCTGGGCCCGGGGTGCCTCACTGACACTGGGCAAGGCAGCTGGGCCCACAGGTGCACAGCGTACCTGGGCTACAAGGTGGTTCAGATCCAGCTTGTCCTGAGCAAGGCTCTCGTTGAGGGCGCTCAGCTTGGACAGGGAGTCCTGCAGGGAGGCCTCCTCTGCCCTCAGCTTGGTCATGGAGAGCTCGAGCTCCACGCGGCCAGCCTCAGCCTGCAGAGTCAGGCCCTCAGAGATGAGGAAAGGCAGAAAGGTTGGGAGGAGGTGAGGAGAGACAAGAAGAGACCCAGAGAGATGGACCCTCGGAGACAGGGAAGGGGAGACAAGGAGGGGACATAGCGTGAGATGGAAAAAAAAATCACCGCAGAAAGCCTGCTGCTTATGGAGCCATTTAAAAGCCACGCACCACAGAGCTGTGCAAAAATAGCTCAAGCTGCAGGGCAGGACCAGAGTTCAGAGGATCCCCTGAGTACGGTCTAGGGATAGCACTGCTCAGAGCCCAGGCTGCAGTGGACAAGGCCAGCCCCCTGCCAAGGACTCTCTGGGCTGTGGCCCCAACTCTCAGGCCCCAGGAGCTGAGTCTCAGGCACTGGATGACCCTGAGCTTTAGGCACTGCCCCCAGGAGCATCTACAAGAGCAGGGATATGGCCATAAAGAGAGGTCAGTCCACTTATGGCTGGGACCAGAGGTCCAGAGGTCTGTGGCCTGCAACAAATATCAGCCTGTATCCAGAAGGAAGGGGTCAGTCTGTGACCAGGCTCAGAGGTCTGCCTGACACTGGGACCAGTCCATGCCAGAGCGAGACGTCTTGGGGCTGGGGGTCAGAGGTAGGTTTTGTGGTTGTGCAGCAAACAGGGACCCACCTTGGTCAGCGCCTCGGCCACCTCGGCCTTCTCGGCCTGCAGCATGTCCCGCTGCAGTGTGGCGCGGCTCAGCGCCTCCCTCACCTCCACCAGCTCCTTGGCCAGGACTGAGCGCTTCCCTCCCAGCTGCTCTAGTTGTCTATGGCTGCGGGACAGAGGGCGGGCGGGTGGCCCATGTCACTTTCCTGCCCTGAACCTCCTGTAGCCAGCGAGATGCTGAGCCAGGGACCAGGCCTGAGGCAGGAGTTTGGAGAGAAACAGCCTGACCCACAGGGCAACCAAGCCCACTACACTTAGCTGCATGACCCTGGGCCTCTGTTTTCACATCTGCAAAACGAGGTAACACTTGCCTCGTGACATTGTTTTCTTGAGACAGAGTCTTGCTCTGTCACCCAGGCTGGAGTACAGTGGTGCAATCTCGGCTCACTGCAACCTCTGCCTCCCAGGCTCAAGCAATTCTCCTGCCTCAGCCTCCTGAGTAGCTGGGATTATAGGTGCCCGCCACCATGCCTGGCTAATTTTGTAGTTTTAGTAGAGATGGGGTTTCCCCATGTTGGTCGGGCTGGTCTCGAACTCCTGACCTCAGGCGATTCCCCTGCCTTGGCCTCCCAAAGTGCCAGGATTACAGATGTGAGCCACCATGCCCGACCTGTTTTAAGGATACAGACTTCACACATGCTTAAAATGGTGCCTGATACATCTCCCCAAGGGCCTTCAGAAACAAGAATAACATGCACCACCACAGTCTACTAAACATCATCATCGATCACGTCCCAGAGAGGTAAGCAGCACAGTGAGGAAGAGGTTAACTCTGAAGGCAGAATGCCTGGGTTCAAATCCTGGCTCTTCTGCTAATTAGCTGTGTGACCTGGGGCAAGGAACATAGCTTCTCTGTGCCTCAGTTTACCATCCACAAAATGGAGATAACAGCTTCTACGACACAGAGTTATCATAGAGCTGAATGAGAACTGAATTGCTTAAAACAGTATCTGGCACTTAGTGAAATTAGTAAGGATATTGTTATGATCATAACTAAATTTTAAAAACACTATTGTTAATATTACTACTGTTATTTTAATTATTGTTGTTATTATCATCCAAGTTCTACCTTTTAACTAGTTCTCTGACCCCAGGTAAGTGACGACACCTCCCTGAGCCTCAATTTCCTGAAATGGGTCTGGTTAGAAAACCCGACATCAGAGGGGTCCAGATGGTAGGAGGTCCAGGACCCAGTGGGTGCTCCCTAACCCCCCGGGGGCACTGTCAGGGCATCTGAGGCACATCTGAAGGGCCCTGGCAGGCAGGCGAGATGCTGCTCACCTGCGCTCAAGCTCCCGGCGCACCCGCGCGACATCCTGCACCGCGTCCTCCTGCTCTTCCTCCAGCCGGTCCCGCTGGCGCCGCAGCTCCTCCTGGGCAGCCTGCAGCTTCTCCCGCTCCTGCCGTAGCTCCTCGGCCTGCTGCTGGGCCACCTGCAGGCTGTGAGCCAGGTTGCTCTTCTCCCTTCAGGACAAGGGGAGGAGAGGGGAGCAGAGGGGATGCTGGGGCTGCGCTCTCCAGGGAAGGTGGCTGGCTGCTCCTCTAGCCATGAGCTACATCCTCCCATCTTCCAAGGCACTTGCCTCCAGGAAGCCTTCCCTGACCACCCTGCCCATGGCTGACTCATTTCACTGACACCCTCCAGCAGAAGAACCTGGCTTTCCTTCCCCCCAGCCTGCCCACTTCGAGTGGATGGAGGTGCTGGCATTATCTCCAAGCACCCTACCAGGTAGGCAAGGCTAGGCTCCTGGGACACACAGACAATTGTGCCACCAGCTCTGCTAGGCCATGTGACCAGGAAATGCCCCCTATAACACACCATGCCCCTCAATTCTGGGAAGCCTGATAGAGCTGAGTCTGCACATCCCACAGCTTCCTGCTACATAGGCACATGGTGGCCACAGCAGGGGAGGGAAGAGAAGGCAGCAACTGAGACCCCAAAGACTTGCTGTGAGCTGCCACTTTCCTCACTGGCAGTAGGTGCGAAAAAACTTCACGACATGATTTTTTTTTTTTTTTTCCTGAGACGCAGTCTCACTCTGTCACCCAGGCTAGAGTGCAGTGGCGTGATCTCCCCTCATTGCAAGCTCCACCTCCCAGGTTCACGCCATTCTCCTGCCTCAGTCTCCTGAGTAGCTGGGACTACAGTCACCTGCCACCACACCCAGCTAATTTTTTGTATTTTTGGTAGAGACGGGGTTTCACCGTGTTAGCCAGCATGGTCTCGATCTGACCTTGTGATCCGCCTGCCTCCCAAAGTGCTGGGATTACAGGTGCAAGGCACCGCGTCCAGCAATTTTTTTTTTTTTTAAACAGAGTCTCACTCAGTTGCCCAGGCTGGAGTGCAGTGACACGATCTCAGCTTGCTGCAACGTCCACCTCCAGACTTCAAGCGATTCTCCTGCCTCAGCCTCCCAAGTAGCTGGGATTATAGGCGCCTATCACCACGCCCAGCTAATTTTTGTATTTTTACTTAGAAGCGGGGTTTCACCATGTTGACCAGGCTGGTCTCAAAGTCCTGACCTGAGGTGATCTGCCCGCCTCAGCCTCTCAAAGTGCTGGGAAGACAGGCATGAGTCACTACACCCGGCCCTAATTTTTTTATTTTTTTATTTTTTACTTTTATTTTTATTTATATATTTTTTTGACACAGACTTTCACTCTTGTTGCCCAGGCTGGAGTGCAATGGCGTGATCTCAGTTCACCACAAACTCTGCCTCCCGGGTTCAAGCGATTCTCCTGACTCAGCCTCCCAAGTAGCTGGGATTACAGGCATGTGCCACCACTGATGACTAATTTTGTATTTTTAGTAGACACAGGGTTTCTCCATGTTGGTCAGGCTGGTCTCAAACGCCTGATCTCGGGTGGTCTTCCTGCCTTGGCCTCCCAAAGTGCTGAGATTACAGGCGTGAGCCATTATGCCTGGCCAATTTTTTTTATTTTTAATAGAGATGGGGTTTCGCTCTGTTGGCCAGGCTGGTCTCAAACTCTTGACCTCCAGTGATCCATTCGCCTTGGCCTCCCAAAATGCTGGGATTACAGGTGTGAGCCACCATGCCCAGTCAACAATGTGCTGTTAAGTAAAACACACCCAGCCTGAATTTTCCCTTTTTAAAACTTTTAATTAAAATTTAATACAGCCAGGGACAGTGGCTTATGCCTGTAATCCCAGTAATTTGGGAGGCTGAGGTGGGAGGAATGTTTGGAACTAGGAGTTCAAGACCAGCATGGGCAACACAGTGAGACCCCCATCTCTACATTTCGCAGAATGTGAAATGGGATGCTTGCTGTGAACACAACTACTTAAAAAGACCTTCTCCTTTCCAGGCATGGAAAGCCTCAGTTTACTCTCACATGGACCTGAATTCCAATTCCCACCCTGCCACCCCCAGTCACACACGCTGTACGAGTCTGAGCGAGTCTCTCAAGCTTACAACAGAGTTCCGAATTGCATGAGTTTGACAGGAAGACTAAATGACAGAGTACATAAAAAACACTCGGCCAAGAGCCTGGCACACAGTAGGTGTGGAGGAAACGTTTGCTATCTCACTGCCAGGAAACACGATGGGAAGGAAAACCAGTGCCCTGAGTTAGGATGGGCAGATGAGGCTGTGAGAAGGCGCTGTCTTTTTATTTCTATTTTTCAAACTTTTCATTAGATCGTTACATTTATGAAGAGAAAAACCAAACAACAAAATATCCAAAACAACCTGGCAGCTAAATGGATAATTTATTGTCTTAAAAATCTTCAAGGTGCCAAGAACGGTGGCTCATGCCTGTAATCCAGCACTTTGGGAGGCCGAGGTGGGCAAATCACCCGAGGTCAGGAGTTCAACACCAGCCTAGCCAACATGGTGGAATCCCATCTCTACTAAAAATATAAAAATTAGCCAGGCATGGTGGCAGGCACCTGTAATCCCAGCTACCAGGGAGGCTGAGGCAAGAGAATCGCTTGAACCCAGGAGGTGGAGGTTGCAGTGAGCCAATATCATGCCATGGGTAACAAGAGTTGGGGGGAAAAAAAAAAGAAGTGAATAATTCCTTGTCTTAAACATCTTTGGCTGGGCGCGGTGGCTCATGCCTATAATCACAGCATGTAATCACAGCACTTTGGAAGGCAGAGGTGGGCGGATCACGAGGTGAGGAGATCGAGACCAACCCGGCTGACACGGTGAAACCCCATCTCTATTAAAAATACAAAAAAAAGTAGCAGGGTGTTCCGGTGGGCGCCTGTAGTCCTAGCTACTCAGGGGGCTGAGTCAGAAGAATGGGGTGAACCCGGGAGGTGGAGCTTGCAGTGAGCCGAGATCGTACCACTGCATGGCAGCCTGGGCAACAGAGCAAGACTCCGTCTCAAAAAAAAAACTTCAAGGTGCCTGGTTGATGACTCACACCTATAATCCCAGTACTTTGGGAGGCTGAGATGGGTGGATCATTTGAGCTCAGGAATTAGAGATCAGCCTTGGCAACATGGTGAAACCCCATCTCTACAAGAAACAGAAAAATTAGCCAGGTGTGGTGGTGTGTACCTGTAGTCCAAGCTACTCAGGAGGCTGAGGTGGGATGATCACTTAAGCCTAGGAGGTGGAGGTTGCAGTGAACTGAGATCACACCACTGTACTCCAGCCTGGGTGACAGAACAAGACTCTGTCTCGGCCGGGCGCGGTGGCTCAAGCCTGTAATCCTAGCACTTTGGGAGGCCGAGACGGGCGGATCACGAGGTCAGGAGATCAAGACCATCCTGGCTAACACGGTGAAACCCCGTCTCTACTAAAAATACAAGAAAATTAGCCGGGCGAGGTGGCAGGCGCCTGTAGTCCCAGCTACTCGGGAGGCTGAGGCAGGAGAATGGCGTGAACCGGGGGGCGGAGCTTGCAGTGAGCCGAGATCGCGCCACTGCACTCCAGCCTGGGGCACAGAGCAAGACTCCGTCTCAAAAAAAAAAAAAAAAAAAAAAAAAAAAAGACTGTCTCAAATTAAAAGAAAAAAAAAAATCTTCAAGGCTAGGCATGGTGGCTTATGCCTGTAATCTCAGCATTTTGGGAGGCCGAGGCAGGGGAATTGCTTGAGGCCAGGAGTTTGAGACCATCCTGAGCAACACAGCAAGACCCCATCTCTAAAAAAAAAAAAAAAAAAAGAAATACAGTCCAGAATAGTGCTGTCAATAGAACTCTCTGAGATGACAGAATGTTCTGTGGCCATGTATGGTTGATGAGTGCTTGAAATGTGAAACCTGCAGGCTGTGAGCCAGGTTGCTCTTCTCCTTTCAGGACACGGGGAAGGGGAGCAGAGGGGATGCTGAGGATGCTCTCTCCAGGGAAGGTGGCTGGCTGCTCCCCTAGCCATGAGCTACATCTTCCCATCTTCCAAGGCACCTGCCTCCAGGAAGACTTCCCTGACCATGCCCATTGTTGACTCATTTCACTGACACCCTCCAGCAGAAGAACCTGGCTTTCCTTCTCCCCAGCGCACCCACTTGGAGTGGATGGAGGTGCTGACATTATCTCCAAGCACCCTGCCAGGTAGAAGAGGCCAGGCTAGGCTGCTGGGACACACAGGCAATTGTACCACCAGCTCTGCTAGGCCATGTGACCAGGAAATGCCTCTTATAACACCCCATGCCCCTCCATTCTGGGAAGCCCAATAGAGCTGAGTCTGCACATCCCACAGCTTCCTGCTACATAGGCACATGGTGGCCACAGCAGGGGCGGGAGGAGAAGGCAGCAACTGGGACCCCAAAGACTTGCTGTGAGCTGCTGCTTTCCTCACTGGCAGTAGATGCAAAAAAACTTCACGATGTGATTTTTTTTTTTTTTTTTTTAAGACAGAGTCTCACTCTGTCACCCAGGCTAGAGTGCAGTGGCACGATCTCGGCTCACTGCAAGCTCCGCCTCCCAGGTTCACACCATTCTCCTGCCTCAGCCTGCCCAGTAGCTGGGACTATAGGCACCTGCCACCACGCCTGGCTAATTTTTTGTATTATTAGTAGAGATGGGGTTTCACCGTGTCAGCCAGCATGATCTTGATCTCCTGACGTCGTGATCTGCCCGCCTCGGCCTCCCAAAGTGCTGGGGTTACAAGTGTGAGCTACCACATCCAGCAATTTTTTTTTTTTTTAGATAGAGTCTCACTCTGTCGCCCAGGCTGGAGTGCAGTGACACAATCTCGGCTTGCTGCAACCTCCACCTCCAGACTTCAAGCGATTCTCCTGCCTCAGCCTCCCAAGTAGCTGGGATTATAGGCGCCTATCACCACACCCAACTAATTTTTGCATTTTAATTAGAAGCGGGGTTTTACCATGTTGGCCAGGCTGGTTTCAAACTCCTGACCTCAAGTGATCTGCATGCCTCAGCCTCCCAAATTGCTGGGAATACAGGCGTGAGCCACCACGCCCAGCCCTAATCTTTTTATTTTTTTATATTTTACTTTTATTTTTATTTATTTATTTTTTTGACACAGACTTTCACTCTTGTTGCCCGGGCTGGAGTGCAATGGCGTGATCTCGGTTCACCACAAACTCTGCCTCCCGGGTTCAAGCAATTCTCCTGCCTCAGCCTCCCAAGTAGCTGGGATTATAGGCATGTGCCACCACGGATGGCTAATTTTTTATTTTTAGTAACCACAGGGTTTCTCCATGTTGGTCAGGCTGGTCTTGAACTCCCAACCTCAGTTGGTCCTCCCACCTCAGTCTCTCAAAGTTCTGGGATTACAGGCATAAGCCACTGTGCCCGGCCAATTTTTTTTATTTTTAGTAGAGATGGGGTTTTGCCATGTTGGCCAGGTTGCTCTCAAACTCCTGACAAGTGACCCACCTGCCTTGGCCTCCCAAAGTGTTGGGTTTACAGGCATGAGTCACCATGCCCAGGTGACAATGTGCTTTTAAGTAAAAATAGCAGAATGCGAAACGGGATGTATGCTGTGAACACAACTACTTAAAAAGACCTTCTCCTTTCCAGGCATGGAAAGCCTCAGTTTACTCTCACATGGACCTGAATTCCAATTCCCACCCTGCCACCCCCAGCCACACACGCTGTATGAGTCTGAGCGAGTCTCTCAAGCTTACAACAGAGTTCCGAATTGCATGAGTTTGACAGGCAGACTAAATGACAGAGTACATAAAAAACACTCGGCCAAGAGCCCGGCACACAGTAGGTGTGGAGGAAACATTTGCTATCTCACTGCCAGGAAACACGATGGGAAGGAAAACCAGTGCCCTAAATGAGTTAAGATGGGCAGATGAGGCTGTGAGAAGGCGCTATCTTTTTATTTCTATTTTTCAAACTTTTCATAAGATCGTTACATTTATGAAGAGAAAAACCAAACAACAAAATATCAAAAACAACCTGGCAGCTAAGTGGATAATTTATTGTCTTAAAAATCTTCAAGGTGCCAAGAACAGTGGCTCATGCCTGTAATCCAGCACTTTGGGATACCAAGGTGGGTGAATCACCTGAGGTCAGGAGTTCGACACCAGCCTAGCCAACATGGTGGAACTCCATCTCTATTAAAAATATAAAAATTAGCCTGGCATGGTGGCAGGCACCTGTAATCCCAGCTATCAGGGAGGCTGAGGCAAGAGAATCACTTGAACCTAGGAGGTGGAGGTTGCAGTGAGCCAAGATCATGAGATGGGCAATAAGAATGGGGGGAAAAAAAAGAAGTGGATAATTTCTTGTCTTAAAAATCTTCAAGGTGCCTGGCGTGATGGCTCACACCTATAATCCCAGTATTTTGGGAGGCTGATATGCGTGGATCATTTGAGCTCAAGAGTTAGAGATCAGCCTGGGCAACATGTCAAAACCCCATCTCTACAAAAAACAGAAAAATTAGCCAGGCATGGTGGTGTGTGCCTGTAGTCCCAGCTACTCAGGAGGCTGAGGTGGGAGGATCACTTAAGCCTAGGAGGTGGAGGTTGCAGTGAAGTGAGATTGCACCACTGCACTCCAGCCTGGGTGACAGAACAGGACCCTGTCTCAAATTAAAAGAAAAAAAAATCTTCAAGGCTAGGCATGGTGGCTTTTGCCTGTAATATCAGCATTTGGGGAGGCTGAGGCAGTGTAATTGCTTGAGGCCAGAAGTTTGAGACCATCCTGAGCAACACAGCAAGACCCCACCTCTAAAATAAAAAAAATAAAAAATAAAAATAAAATAAAATAAAATTTTAAAACTCCAAGAAATGCAGTCCAGAATAGTGCTGTCAATAGAACTCTCCGAGATGACAGAATGTTCTATGGCCACGTATGGTTGATGAGTGCTTGAAATGTGGCTAGGGCAACTAAAAAACTGAATTTTCTTCTTCTTTTTTCTTTTTCTTTTTTTTTTTTTTTCAGATGGAGTCTCAATCTGTCACCCAGGCTGGAGTACAGTGGTGTGATCTCAGCTCACTGCAAGCTTTGCCTCCCAGGTTCACACCATTGTCCCATCTCAGCCTTCCAGTAGCTGGGACTACAGGTGCCCGCCACCATGCCCAGCTTATTTTGTTTTTGTATTTTTGGTAGAGACGGGGTTTCACCATGTTAGCCAGGATGGTCTCGATCTCCTGATCTCGTGATCCGCCCACCTCGGCCTCCCCAAGTGCTGGGATTAAAGGTGTAAGCCACCACAACCAGCCTTTTTTTTTTTTTGAGACGGAGTCTTCCTCATCTCCCAACCTGAAGTGCAGTGACACGATCCTGGCTCATTGCAACTTCCGCCTCTGGGGTTCAAGTGATTCTCCCACCTCAGCCTCCCAAGTAGCTGGGATTACGGGAGCATGCCACCATGCTTGGTTAATTTTTGTATTTTTAGTAGAAACAGGTTTCACCATGTTGGTCAGTCAGCTGGGTGTGAGCCACCACACGCAGTCTGAATTTTCACTTTTTAAAATTTTTAATTAAATTTTAAAAGAGCCAGACACAGTGGCTTCCGCCTGTAATCCCAGCAATTTGGGAGGCTGAGGAGGAAGGAGTGTTTGAAGCCAAGAGTTCAAGACCAGTGTGGGCAACAAAGTGAGATCCCCACATCTCTACAAAAAATTTAGAAATGTTGGGGGCTTGTCTAGCATCCTCAGGGCTGAGATCAGAGTTGCCCAGGACCCGGGGAGGTGAGGGCTCAGAGGGTGATGAGGGCACAGAGGAAGGGAGTGGAAACTTAACTCTCAGGCATGGGTCCCATATCCTTCCCCAGGCCAGGCCCAGGCCCTGGCCCCCAACTAGGGACAGTTGGGAGGTAGAGGTGGGAGGATTACTTGAGTCTGGGAGTTCCAGGCAACAGTGAGCTGTGATGGAGCCATTGTGCCCCAGCCTGGGAAACAGAGCATGAGCTTGACTCAAAACAAAGCAAAACACAACAAAACAAAACTGAATAATAAAAAATAAATGTTGGCCAGGCGCGGTGGCTCATGCCTGTAATCCCAGCACTTTGGGAGACGGAGGCGGGTGGATCACGAGGTCAGGAGTTCAAGATCAGCCTGGCCAAGATGGTGAAACCCCATCTCTACTAAATATACAAAAAAAAATAGCTGGGCGTGGTGATGGGCACCTGTAATCCCAGCTCCTCGGGAGGCTGAGGTGAGAACTGCTTAAACAAGGGAGGGGAGAGAATGCAATGAGCCGGTACCATGCCACTGCACTCCAGCCTGGGCGACAGAGTGAAACTCCCTCTCAAAAAAAAAAAAAAAAAATTAGCCGGGCGTGCTGGCGGGTGCCTGTAGTCCCAGCTACTCGGGAGGCTAAGGCAGGGTAATAGGTGAACCCGGGAGGCGGAGCTTACAGTGAGCCAAGATCGCACCACTGCACTCCAGTCTGGGCGACAGAACGAGACTCCATCTCATAAGTAAATAATAAAATAATAAATAAAATGTTAATAGGCACATGCAGCTCAGGGCGACCATATTAGTGCAGACCACATGCATAAGGCTCAACTGGTGTTATGCCCAGACGCTGATTTATTCTTCAGCACCCCCCAGCTCAGACCTCCTTGGCACCTGCTCAGGAGTTCGTTGGCACTCCGCAGCCGCTGCACCTCGCGCTGGGCGTCCTCATGGGCCTGCAGGGCGCAGTTGGTCTTTTCCCGCAGGCGCTGCAGTTGTTCCTCTAGGGCCCGCCGCTCACTCTCGCTGTCGCTAAGCTGCTTCCGCAGGGTGCCCAGCAGGTCCTGGTTTGCCTCATAGCGCCCACCCATGTTCCGGGGCGTGGGCATCACAGAGTCTACGGGGGTCCTGGGAGGCCTCCAGAGCCCACCTACTCTCTTCTGGTTCCAGGGATACACACTAGCCTACGCTAGGCGGGGTCCAGGGCCTGGACCTGGCCTGGGACAGGATAGGAGCCTAGGCCTGAGAGCCAAGCTTCCGTTCCCCTACTATGTGCCCTCACCACCCTTTGAGCCCTCATCTCCGTGGGGTCCCGGACAATTCCTGTCAAACTCCCCCGGATGCGAGACAAACCCCCAGGCACCTTCGTCTCCTGGGTTCTGACCCCACCCCCAGGGCTCCCAGGCCCCTCCCCTTTGCATCCTGGTTCCACTCTCAGACCCCTCCCTACCCTGGCTCTGCCCCTAGTTCCCGAGCTCCTCTCATCCTAGGCTCTGATTCCCCTTGCTAGAACTTTTCCCAGAATCCTGGCTCTGTATAACCAGGGACATGTCTCCCTCTCTACCATGACCCTAACACTGCAGCAGTCTCCTCCCTCCACCAGCTGCCCAAGCACCCCCACTTCTGGGCTCGGCTTCACCGCAGAGCTCTCGGCCACCTCCTTCGGGGTCATGACACCCTCAGACACTTTCTCAGGGCTCTGGCTGCACCCTGCGGCGCTCAGACTCCTCCCCCTGACCCTGGCCCCTGACCCGCCCCCACTCCCGCTCCCGCCCCAACCCGGAGGGTGCGAGCCCCGCCCCCCTCCCGCCCCGGGGCCTCTGGCTGCGCCCAGAACCCTCAAGCCCCTTCCTACCTGGACCTGCGGCTGGCACTTGTGCAGGGCGGAGTGGATCAGGGCGAGCGTGGAGGAGTCTGAGCAGGCCGGGGAGAGGGGCCTCGGCGGGGCGAACGACCTCGGCCTGGCTAGGAGCGCCGCGGTGGGGACGGGGTCCACTGGCCCGAGAGCACCCCCGCAGGCTCTCGGCTCGGAGACACTTGGAGACGCTCAGCTGGACGCCGCTCTCAACATAGCACAGGATGGCCTGAGGGTAGGGGAGGAAGGCAGAAGGAGGCCACAGAGTTAGGAACCGCGGGGTTAGCTGGTAAAGCTGCCCAGGCGAGGCTGGGGGCTGCCTCATTCCAAATGCTCCCTCCTACAACAAGCCTTCCTGATTTCAACTCCTCCACTAGCTCAGTCCTCAGCTCGCCGCTGAGGCCTCCGATTTATTGCGAAGACATCATTTGGCGTTGCTCACAGGTGGGCTCCGGAAGGGCCGTGCCTCCCCTCTGACACTGGGGGTTCCCCAGGGCAGGGGCCGGGTGAGCTAGCAGGGGTGCTGAGCAGCTACAGCCTGGGCTCCAGGCCCCCACCCATTTGCAGTTCAGTCCCAGGCCACCAAAAGGCGTGGCGGGGGAGCCCAGGACCGCCTGGCAGGGCCCTATCTTCCCTGCTCTCTGGGCTCACACCTGTGCCAGGTCCCTTAGGGTCTGCTGTAGCCCCTCTCCGTCCTCTGTCTCCAGGGCCGCCTGCTCCTGTAGCCGCAGGGATTCCTGGAGTGCGGTTAGGGAGACAAAGGTGGTCCAGGTTCTGTCTTATCTGAAACCTCCCTTTCCCTTCCCTCCCTGGCTCACCACTGACCAGGTGGCCTCTGAAGCCATGTCCATAGGCCAGCCACCTGGCCCGAGGGCAGCAGGCCCGAGGCCCTCACTGAACAGACCAAGCCCAGAGAAGAGCTGTGTCCTGCCCCATGTCACACAGACAATTGGAGGAGAGCCGAACCTAGAACCCAGGCCAGGCCCCACACAGAGGGGTGACCAAACCAGGCTGTACCCTGGGGTAGTGAGTGTCCCACTGGTGGGGGAGGGGGAGTAGCTGGGTTGCCAGAGGCAGCATCTGGACCTGGAGAGCGCAAATGGGAGTTCAAGTCCCGACTCTCCCGCTTACTGGCTCTGAGACTGGACAAGCATTTCCCCTCTTGGGCCTCAGTTTCCCCATCTGTGTCATGAGGATTATGCTACAGGGCTGCTGGGGGGAAGAAATGGGATGGAGGAGGTGAGTGTGCTTACCACGAAGACTGCACACCTGTGAGACCTGAACCTGAGTGTGAGTGGGACGCTGGGGGTGGCCCAGGCGGCCCAGGCGGCCCAGGCAGCCCAGCCCTAAGCCTGCGTCCATGGATCTGGCCGGTACCCCATCCCACCCTGCCACATCTCAGGGGCAGCTACAGCTCACCAGGGCCTCAAGCTTCTCGGTGAGGTCCTTGTTGACCTGATCCTTCTCCAGATTCTGCTTCTGAAGACGCTCCACTGCCAGGCCCAGCTCTGTCACTCTGGAGTTGGGGGAGCAACAGAGGTGAATAGGGGACCACCACTGCCTCTCAAATCCACTAGCTCTGTGTCCACCATGCTTCTTCAAACCCGAGGCAGGGACCCTAACATCCACCTCCCTGGCTGTGTGACCTTAGGCAAGTCCGGGCTCCTCTCCAGACCTCACGCTTCTCATCTGTGAAACGGGAATGAGGTTCCCACCAGCTTTATCTCATGGGAAAGCACTTGAAGACGTGTCCAGGTGGCAGAAGTAAGGGGCACAAGTTTTTTTGTTTTATTTTTTTCAGAAGGAGTTTTGCTCTGTCATCCAGGCTGGAATACAGTGATGTGATCTTCACTCACTGCAACCTCCACATCCTGGGTTCAAGTGATTCTCCTGTCTCAGCCTCCCTCATAGCTGGGATTATAGGCACGCGCCACCATGCCCGGCTAGTTTTTGTATTTTAGTAGAGACAGGGTTTTGCCTGTTGGGCAGGCTGGTCTTGAGCTCCTGACCTCAGGTAATCCCCCTACCTTGGCCTCCCAAAGTGCTGGAATTACAGGTGTGAGCCACCACACCCGGCCACAGGTTCTGTCATCAGAGGCTAAGCTGTTTATGATATACACCGGGCAAGTGCCTTCGGAACCTCAGTGGGGTGCCTGGGAAGACTGGCTGAGCTCGCAGAGGAAGGCCCTGTGCCTAGTGAACAGATGCTCCCTTCTCCCCAACCCTCCAGTTTCACCTTCTGCAGGGACGCCTGCCTTGTGCAGCACCCACCAGGTACCCACGTGGCACTGAGGTCAGCCTCGTCCAGGTCGCTTTGCATCTGCTGCTGGGCCAGGTCCTTCTCGTGGAGCATCTTGTCCTGCAGCTGCTCCTCTAGCTGGGCCTGCTTCTCCAGGGCTGCCTCGGTCCGGCTCTCTGCCAGCCGCAGGTCCGGGATCAGTCCCAGGCCTGCCTCCTGGACAGCTCATGATGTCTGGGCCAGCTCCCCTCCCAGCTGCAGCAGGTCCCTTGGGGAGAGAGCACAGGCTGGCGATGCGATGGGGCTCACTCCCAAATACAAATTAAAACTATGCTGGGGCCAGGCGTGGTGGCTCACACCTGTAATCTCAGCACTTTAGGAGGCTGAGGCAGGCAGATCACCTGATGTCAGGAGTTCAAGACCAGCCTGGCCATCATGGTGAAACCTCGTCTCTACTAAAAATACAAAAAATTAGCCAGGCATGGTGGCACACTCCTGTAGTCCCAGCTACTTGGGAGGCTGAGGCAGGAGAATTGCTTGAACCCAGGACATGGAGACTGCAGTAAGCCGAGATCATGACGCTGCATTCCAGCCTGGGCGACACAGCGAGACTGCGTCTCAAAAAATAAATAAATAAAATAAAAATAAAAATAAAACTATACTAGGCTGGGTGCAGTGGCATGCACCTGCAGTTTCAGCTATGTGGGAAGCTGAGGCAGGATTGCTTGAACCCAGGAGTTTGAGGCCAGCATGGGAAACATAGTGAGACTCCATCTCAAAAACAAAAGAGAAAGAAAAAAAAAAAAAACACACACACACACACAAACTCTACACTGGGATGCCATTTGTCCACTATCAGACTAGGGGGAAAAACAAGGGTCACATAATACACAGGGAGGGGCTTTGGGGTAACAGGCGCTCCCCTACACAGCTGGTGGGAAGGTGAGTACAACCACAATGGAGAGCACTGGGGGAAAGCTCCGAGAACTATGCATGCATAGGACCTTCCCACCAGCTCCTCCTCTAAGAACGTATCCAAAGATATACTCCAGCACAGAGAAGATGGCTTGTGCACAAGGGGGTTCACTGCAGCATTGCTCGTGTAAAAAATCCTGGTGACAACCTGAATGTCTATCAAAAGGGGACTAAGTACGTGATGGTACATCTATTCAGTGGAACACTCTGTGGTTAAGAAAACCAGTGGAGAAGTTCTTACTGGTCTGACACAGAGTCACCTCCCAATTATAACTAATATGTGAGGAAAGCATCTTCGAGAACTGTGAAGATGAAATTTTACCAGGCATATATACAAAAAAGTGTGCATGTGTCTGTGTGTGTGTGTGTGTGATCTGCTTTATTTGATTATGTAAGATAACCCTGGAAGGTCACTTAAGAAACTGATAGGCCAGGAGCGGTGGCTCACGCCTGTAATCCCAGCACTTTGGGAGGCCAAGGCGGGAGGATCACCTGAGGCCAGGAGTTCGAGACCAGCCTGGCCAACATGACGAAACCCCGCCTCTACTAAAAATACAAAAATTAGCTGGGTGTGGTAGCTCATGCCTGTAATCCCAGCTACTTGGGAGGTGGAGGTGGGAGAATTGCCTGAACCGGGGAGGCAGAGGGTTGCAGTGAGCCAAGATCATGCCACTGCACTCCAGCCTGGGAGACAGAGGGAGACTGCATTTTGAAAAAAAAAGAAGAAACTGATAATGCTTCTCATAGTAACTTGGTGGCCGAAAAAAGAAAAAAAATTGTACATATAAAAAGAAAAAGAAGCTGATAATGCTGCTTGCCTCCAAGGCGGGAAGGGGAATATCTAGGGTCAGAGGTGAAAGGGAGCCGTTTTACTGTGTACCCTTTTGAAATGTGAACCTTGTGAACATGTGACTTAATCAAAAGTAAAATACAAAAATTTTCAAGGCTACTTAAAAATTTTGTTTTTGTTTTTTTGAGACGGAGTCTCACTCTGTTGCCCAGGCTGGAGTACAGTGCTACAATCTCGGCTCACTGCAACCTCCACCTCCCTGGTTCAAGCGATTCTCCTGCCTCAGCCTCCCGAGTACCTGGAATTACAGACGTACGTCACCACACCCAGCTAATTTTTGTATTTTTTAGTAGAGACGGGGTTTCACCATGTTGGCCAAGTTGGTCTTGAACTCCTGACCTCAGATGATCTACCTGCCTCAGCCTCCCAAAGGCTGGAATTACAGGCATGAGCCACCGAGCCTGGCCTTAAAAATGTATTTTTGCAGGCCCATTTCTGTAATTCCAGCACTTTAGGAGGCCAAGGCAGGTGGATTGCTTGAGTCCAGGAGTTTGAGACCAGCCTGGGCAACACAGCAAGACCCTGTCTCTAAAAAAAAAAAAAAAAATTAGCTGGACATAGTGGTGCACACTTATAGTCCCAGCTACTTGGGAGGCTGAAGTGGGAGGATCACTTCACCCTGGGAGGTCAAGCCTAACGTGAGTTGTGATTGTGCCACTGCACTTCAGCCTGGGCAACAGAGAGACACTGTCTCAAAAAAAAAAAAAAAATGTATTTTAAGTCCATAATACAGGTTAAATCCTTTCCTTTCCTGAATGAACTGTACCCCTGGTTATCCAATACTAAGGAGGGACACTGCCTCATTCCAGAATTCTAATTAATATAAAAGGAGTGACTAAATGAGAAGCTCACAGTTTTGCAGCCTCTGATGAGTGGGTTGGATCTTGAAAAGAGAGACAACAGGCATAGGGACATCCCGATGGAAGAATACATTCTACTTATGGAGTCTTGATTAATTAATTAATTAATATAAAATAAAAGCAAGCAGAAGAACCTGAATCTGACCTAGCTTTAGATCCAACATCAAATTTATAGGAAATACATGGGATAAAGAAACATGTTAATTGACACCATAAGGATGCAACCAACAAAATCCAGGCCATGAGAATCTCCAAGGACAATTGGCCCAGTTTCCTGAACAAATAAGTTAAAAGGAACTTAAAACACAAAGCAGGTGCCGGGCACAGTGGTTCGGGCCTGTAATCCCAGCTCTTTGGCAGACCAAGATAGGTGGATCATCTGAGGTCAAGACAAGCCTGGCCAACATGGTGAAGTCCCCATCTCTACTGAAAATACAAAAGTTGGCCAGGTGCGGTGGCTCAAGCCTGTAATCCCAGCACTTTGGGAGGCCAAGATGGGCGGATCATGAGGTCACGAGATCGAGACCATCCTGGCTAACCTGGTGAAACCCCGTCTCTACTAAAAAAATACAAAAAACTAGCCGGGCGAGGTGGCGGGCGCCTGTAGTCCCAGCTACTCGGGAGGCTGAGGCAGGAGAACGGTGTAAACCCAGGAGGTGGAGCTTGCAGTGAGCTGAGATCCGGCCACTGCACTCCAGCCTGGGCAACAGAGTGAGACTCAGTCTCAAAAAAAAAAAAAAAGAAAGAAAAGACAAAGCCACCAGTCACATTTTGTGAATGTCTATGGATCTGGATTCAAACAAATTGTAAAGAAAAAACTAAAGTAAGACTATCTGTGACTTTTTTTTTCCTGTTCTTGAGACAGTTTCACTCTGTCACCCAGGCTGGAGTGCAGTGGTGTGATCTCGGCTCACTGAAGCCTCTGCCTCCTGGGTTCAAGCGAGTCTGGTGCCTCAGCCTCCTCAGTAGCTGGGATTACAGGCGTGTGTCACCACACCTGGATAATTTTTTTATTTTTAGTAGAGGTGTGGGTTCACCATGTTGGCCAGGCTGGTCTCTAACTCCTGACCTCAGGTGATCTGCCCGCCTCGGCCTCCCAAACTACTGGGATTACAGGCCTGAGCCACTGCACCTGGCCTATCTGTGACATTTATGAGACATATGGAAAATCTAGATACTGGCTATTTGATGATATTAAGAAAAGATTATTAAACCAGGTGTGGTTGCTCACGCCTATAATCCCAGCACTTTGGAAGGCCAAGGAAAGAGGATCACTTAGGCTCAGGAGTTCAAGACCAGCCTGGGCAACAAAGTGACACCTCGACTCTACAAGAAATAAAAAAATCAGCAAGCCTGGTGGCATGCACCTGTGTTCCGAATCGCACAGGACCTGAGGTAGGAGGACTGCTTGAGACCAGGAGGCCGAGGCTGTAGTGAGCCATAAAGAAAAGAAAAAATAAAGAAAAGATTACTAACTAAAAGGTTTTTAATGCACTAAATGAAACAGCTTGGCCCCCTGCCTTCGGGCTGTCTCTACAGCCTCCTGACACTGCTGTTGAGCTGACTGCTCACACCGATCAGATGCCCCTGTTCAAAGATCAAGCAGGCCGAAGCTCCCCCGCTGAGGCAGGCTCTCCTTTCCCTGTACCAGCCCTTCGTTCAACCCCCCTGGCTGCCATGGGCTCGCACCTCCCCGCCTTTGCTCATGCCTTGCTTCTGCTTGGAGTGCCTGCTGCTCTGCTTCAACCCTACCCATTCCTTGAGGCTCTGAGCAAATTCCATCTCCACAAAGCGGTTTTTCTGACCTCCCCACCCCTCCCATCCTTCTGAGCCTCCAGGACATTCCCTCTGTCCCATGTACATATCACTGACCACTCGCTTCCTTAGTCTAGAATTTTGGGGATCTACGTCTCTTCATCACTAGAGGCTGTGAGGTCCTTGGTAGCAAAGCTGAATATTCTAGTGGATTAAAATCAGGAATTTTGGCCTGGTGCAGTGGCTCATGCCTATAATCCCAGCACTTTGGGAGGCTTAGGCTGGCAGATTGCCTGAGCTCAGGATTGCCTGAGCCCCTGAGTCTGGAGGAACACAGTCCAAGGGTGTTCAGGAGAGTTGGAAGTAGGGGGTTTCTCCTGGACTGCCGCTGCAGGCCTGCCAAGTGTCTGCGCCAAGCCCACTGAGGTCATTGGTGAGCGGTGTCTGCATCTGTGTGTGGTGGCGCTGGCCTGGGGCAGCCACACATGCTGTGCACTGATGTTGGTGGCCCTCACTAGGTGCGAACAGGGTGTTATTTTGTCATTTGTCTCCAGGCAGGACCCTGTGTGTGTTTGTGTGTGAGTGCTGAGTTCATGTCGACGGTTTGGTGCCTCTGAGCCTTCCCGTGAACGGGTAAGGTGGCATCTGGCTGAAGGTCTATGTTGTGGTGCAGGTGTTGGGTCTGGCTGTGTGTATCAGGGCATATGTCTGTGTTGTCGGCGAGGCAAGTGTACAACCGCACGTGCGTGGGTCTGGGGAGTGTGCCTGGGCTCCCTTGTATGTGTGATACACACTTTGTGCATCTGGGTATGCCTTTGTGGGCTGATTGGTGGCTATGTTGAACTGTATGCTTTCTCTGTCCGTGTGCAACCATGAGGTGGGAGACAGCGTGCTGTGTCATCTGCATGTGGGTGTTACGGGTCCGCGGTGGTGGGGTGACTGTTCTGTGCCTGTGTGGGGTTGTGCAGCATCTGGCTGTGGCTGTGGGTTACGATGTGCATATTCTGTGAATTGGAGTGTTTCTGTCCCTAAGAAGCAAGTGTAGGCGCAGCCCGGTTTTAGGGTCTCACTATGTTGTTTGTGGCATGTTTTGTGCATCTGTGTGTCTCTGTGTGGGGCCCAGTGTGGCCTGTGTCGTGTCCACACTGCATATCTGTGTGAAGCAAGTGCTGTTTGCCTCTGGGACACAGAGGGGTTCAGGCTGTTGCCGGGTTCTCCTCCCGCCAAAGCCAGGACCCTGTCGGCCACACCTCACCCCTTTCCACAAACTTCACCCCGCACAAAACAGCCTTTCAATTTTACTTGTAATTCAAAAGGGAAGGAGGCTGCCACTAAGCCAGAGATGAAAGAAGTTGACTGTCTCCCCTAGCAACCGCTGCCCTCGGACCACCGTTCAATTTAGTCTTTCCAGGTTGCTACGCACACAAGGGAGCCCAGGGGGTCTGTCCTCTGGAGCCAAGGGAGGCGTGGCCACTCCCTCCTTTCCATTCTCAGCTGTGCCTACACCTGCTTCTCAGGGACAGCAAGGAGGAGGGACCCCCATGGGGGCCCTGAGATCCTCTCTCTCGGCTGGGAGGTGGCCTCTGGGAGTGCCTCAGTTTCCCTGCAGGACATGCAGTCAACAGGATAAAGACCTGACCCTCCCTCCACTCCCCATGCCGGGGGTGCTGCAGGGTTGGAAAGATCAGAAAAATCTCGCTGACTGCCCCCCAACCCAGCCCACCCTGCCAGTGAGGGCCGCAGGGGCAGGCACTTGCCACCTGTGGCCATGGAGACAAGGGGATGGCAGGGAAAGAGAATGTTGCCCAACTGCAGAGCCCTGGACCAAGGGTCTCATCCCAGCACCACCACTGACCTTGGGCCTATCATGCTCCCTCTCCAGGACTTACTTTCCCTATCTGTGATAAGGTGATCTCCAGGCTCTGAAGTTCTCTGGGACCCACCCTCCAGGAAAGGCCTTTGCAGTCATTCCTATTCCAGGAATAGTCATTCCTATTCCACCTCTGCCTCCAGGTGGGGCCTCATTCAAACCATGGTGGATAGAGGACAACTGAAGCAGCGGGTGCCCTCTGCGTGCCATTTGGGGCCCCCCTAGCCACAGGAGGGAGCCTTCCACACTAACCCAGTCCCCCTGTGCTGCAGTCCCAGCCCCAGCTGCTGTGTCCCAGCAGAGGAGGAACCTGTCACCTCCCACTTCTTCCTTTCCCTGCCAACTGGGGGCAGGGCCAGCTTCAGAAGGTGGCATTTAAGAGGCAGGCCCTGGGGGTGTGGCACTGTGCCATGCATGGGCCAAAAGAAAAGGGAGGGCTGGCTCAGGGCCCCATCACCACTGACAATGCAAGACTGGGGCCAGCATGCCCTACACACCCGCTGCAGACCCTGGGAAAACTAGCTCTCCACTGTCCTGATGCTAGGGGCCACTGCGGGCTGCCTACCCACCTCCCTCACAAGTCCCAACTCGTCGGGGGTTTGTCCCGCCAGGCAAATCCCAGGACACGGACACGCCCCACAGTCACACACAGGAACACACACCCTCCTCCCAGTGCGGGCTCCAGCCTGGACAAGCCCAGCTCAGGGGTCCCACACCAACCCCAGCTCTGCCACTACCACACAGGAGACCCTGGGCCAGCCGCTGCCTCTCTGGGTCCCTTCCAACTTTGCGGGGGCCAGCTGTGCCCTGAAATCCTTAGCCCAGAGTCTCTTCCCGTACGTAGGAAACAAAACTTCAGAACTTTGGTTCTAGACTGGGTTAGTCTAGAAACCAAACAGAGCCCCAGGGCTGCGAGCTGGAAGACCTGGTGTCTAGCCTTAACTGTCTGTGTGCCCCCAGCATGGTGCTTCCCCTCCCTGAGCTTCTGTTTTCTCCTTTGTTAAATGGGCATCATAATGGTCCCGAACTTGGTGTATTAAATGTGAAACACTCAGCACGTGCCTGGCACATACTAGGCACTCAATAAACAGTAGCTGCTATTAATATGTTATTGCCACCTGCATGCCTCCCATCTGCACACATACACTCGGTCCTATTTGTAACTCCCTTACCAATCTTCAGCCACCACCAACTTTCCAGGGTCACCTCCCGGCCACCTGGAGGCCCAAAGCAGACAGTGCATCAACAGCATCACGCACCCCTGGCACCGGCTCACACCCAGCTCCCGCCCCAGGCCGTGGGACCCCCGCAAGCCTACAGCACAGGTGATGTGAATCCTGCCTGGACATGAAGACAGGCCTGCTTCTCCTTCCTTCCCTGCCTGGAACCCATTCCAATAGGCAGTGGCGGCAGGTCTTGTGGCTGCCCCAGATGTCCTGCAGAACACCGCAGGTGGCCACACCAGCCTCCAGCCAGCATCCAGCCACCACCTCAGCCCCAAGGCCCGTGGCAACGGTAGCACAGGGAGATGCCCAGAAACTCAAGGGGCAGGAATCTCTAGGGATCTCGTTCTCTGTGTCCCGAACCCCTAACAGGCCTGGGACAGATGGGAACAAAATGCCCCTATGCCAGGCACTTTATTCTATTATTTCCTATTTTTCAAACAACTCCACGTCCCATTACAATCCCCACTACAGAAAACAGGCTTGAAGAATGTAGCGATTTGTTCAATGCCACTCAACGTGGCAGAGCCTCAATCCAAGCTCAGGCCAACCTGACACCAGGTCCCATCTTTTGCCCCATGTGTGGACCTGGTCTAGATGCCTCCATGCCCTCAAACCGGGGGAGCCCTGGCCTAGCCCACCACCTGGGCAGCACCCACCCTCTCGCTGACCACGTTGTACTTAATGTCGAGCTCATCGCGCTCGGCACGGCTCTGGGCCAGCAGGTCCTCCACACGGGACAGCTCCTGCTGCAGCAGCTGGTTCTCCTCCTGCAGTGACAGCAGCGATGCCATCTCCATCGCCGGCAGCGGGACTGGCAAGGGACAGTGGGTACATCATTGGCTTCTGGGTCCAGTGGGACATCCTCCCCCCACGGGGAGGGCAAGAAAACCATCCAGCCCCCTGAGATGAGCCCAGGTGGGAATGGCTGCAGGATTAGGCATGCAAACAAAGCTGAGAACAGGGAGGAAGGCAAGGAGGGGATACAAAGCTGGACATAAAGTGAACACAGCTCCAGCTAAAGTGTGTCCCAGCAGGTTTTGGAGGTACAGGAGAGAGGCTCAGTCTAGGAGCCAGGAGACCCCTGAGTTCTTGCTCCCTCCTTTTCCAATTACAGTTCTTCCCCGGGGCCTCAGTTTTACTTATCTGTAAAATGGGTGGGGCGGGCACGCACTCACGCCTGTAATCTCAGCACTTTGGGAGGCAAGATGGGAAGATCACCTGAAGTCAGGAATTTGAGAGTAGCCTGGCCAACATCGCGAAGCCCTGTCTCTACTAAAAATACAAAAATTAGCTGGGCATGGTGGTATATGCCTGTAGTCCCAGCTACTTGGGAGGCTGAGACAGGAGAATCACTTGAACCCGGAAGGTAGAGGTTGCAGTGAGCTGAGATTGTGCCACTGCACTCCAGCCTGGGCAACACAGAGAGATTCTGCCTCAAAAAAAAAAAAAACAAAAAAAACAAAAAAACAAAAAAACAAAACAAACAAGCAAACAAAACATAGAATAGTAACCAGATCCTCCCAGAAAAGCATCAAAGCCTCATTCAGGGGAAGGGCTTCAAGGAAGTTTAAATGTTAGGGCTCAGGATAGCGTGGGTCAGGTTGTGAGGAGGAGGAGAAAGAGAGAAGAGGGAAAGAAAGGCCAGCGGGAGAAGCGGGGTTGTCCACCTCCTATGGGTTTCCCTTCTACCCCGGGGGGAACTGGACATAGGACCAGGTGCTAGGGTGAAGGCACTCCCTGTCTGGAGCTCCAGGGCGCCAACAACCCTGGTGCTCCCAAGGCGGGGGCCCGTCTGTAGCTTGTCAGTTGAACAGAGACAATGGTTAGAACACCAAAACTCCATCACGGAGGGCTGCCAGCACACCAGCTACAACTGACTGTGCCCTTCCCAGACCCTCAAGCCACATAACGATACAGTGTGTGCCACCGGCTGAGAGGAGCAGGGACCATCCACATTCCTGCCCACGTGGGAAATGCACGGACAGTGCCATCCACTCAGACTTCTGCAAAACCCTGATCTGAGCTGAGCTGCCCTTTCCCTATATCTTGGGTTCAGCCAGCTCCACACCTTCCCCAGGTGGGAATATGGGATTTGGGGTTCACATCTTTGCAGCAGGCTACAGGCAAGCACGGAGGGGATGCTCAGCCCTTCCTTCTAGTTGCACCACATGCGGAATAAGTCTGGGCAAATTCATCCCTGAGCCTCCGTTTCCTCATCTGTAAAATGGCTTCTTCTGTCATAAGGTTGTGCCTGCCCCACAGCGAGTTACAGTCATGATCATCATGGTGACTGCTCAGGAAAGGGACATGCAAAGAGGTAAAATGTGGGTGGTGTCTGTGGAGGGGAGCGGATGGGGGTGGCACCTGGGCTGTCAGGCCGGGAGAGGTTGCGGGTGACAATCTCCCTGATGCGGGCAGGCAGGCTGGTGGTCTGAGCGTCCTGGGCCAGGTCCCGCGTGCCCAAGCCCTTCTCCTGGCACAGGACGCTGCTCTCCAGTGTCTGTGGGAAAAGCAAGAGGGTCTTCAGGGGGACCTGGGACCCGGGGCTCCCTGGCCTTGGGGGGAGAGCCGCAAAGTCCTACTGCCCAAGATATGGGTCCTCAGGAGCCCACTCAAGATGGAGTGAAGCCTGGGAATTAGAATCCAAAAAATCCCCGTGGGAGGAGCCTCTTGTGCGCTCCCCGCCCCTGGAAGAAGGCCACCCAGGGCCAGAGATGCGAACCAAACCCCACGAGCAACTCCCAAACCCCACTGAGGCAGTCCAGTGTTGGGGGCTCCAATCCGGCTCCGACCCTAGATGGATGAGGATCTGGCTATGCCAGAGGTCCTCCGAATCCTAAAATCTGGAAGTAGGGACCCCCTTCTCCCAATGCAGGGCACTGGGATGAGGGAGTGACAGCAGGTGCACCCTGTGTGTACCTCTGCCCCCCTTCTTGCCAGGAACTGCAAGTGCGGGCCCTTTATACCTCACCACCACCACACCCCTCCCACCCCTTGACCCCCAAGACATACACACCTCTCACCACTCCTGCTAAGTCCACACTACCCCGCCCCAGACAGGGTGGGCACAGCCCCCAAGACCCACCTGGATAACCGTCTCTAGTGTCAGCTCGATGTCCTGTGCCCCCGCCAGCCCCAAGCTCATGGGGGGGAGGCTGTGGGCACTCCTCCAGCCCCCTTCCCCAGGACCCCAAGACTAGCTCAGTCAGCACGCGCCACAGCCAGGCTGCTGTGCTGAGCACCAGGCAGATTAAGCTTAAATCCCGGGGCGCCCCCATGTGACCACCGGGGTGGGAGGAGCGGGATGGGGGCTGAGGGGGGAGGGGATGGGAAAGGACAGGAGAGGAGGGAAGCAGAGGCGGGGAGCCGAAGGAAGAGGAAGGATAAAGAGAGGGGAGAAGAAGGGAGAGAAAGGAAGGGAGGAGAGACAAGAGGGAATGGGGGGAGGAAAAGAGGGGAGGCACCTGGAGGTCAGGACCTCACACACTCTCCACCCTCCACAGGTTGCTGGGTCCTAGAGCCCTCCAAGTCCAGGGGGTGGAGTCAGTAGTCATGCGGTGGGAAAGGCCAGAGCCCTAAGTCTTCCGGATGATCTTTGCTGGCCCAGAACTGGGGTCATATGGTTAGCTAAGAATGCAAGGATTTACAGCATGCTGGGAGCACGCTTTCCCACAACAGGTGTAGGGCAAAGAATGCAGGCTATGAGGTCACCCAGAGCAGGCTAGGCACTTAGCTGGGCATGAGCGGTCCAGCCTGGACTGATGAGCATTTATGCAACACCTGCGGCATTCCTAGGTCTGACCTAGACACAGTGGCACAGCCCCCACCTACAAATGCCCCAGCCTTGCCCTGCGGGCACTTATTGGGAAGCTTCTGGCCCCTCCACATCCACCCCAGCCCCCACTAGCTGGGTGCACCAGGAACAGTGACTTTGCCTCTCTGAGCCTCAGTGTCCTCTTACGTAAGATGTGATAATATCGGCACTCACCACATGGAGCCGTCCGGGGATGAAACAGAATATCATGTGTGCATAACCAGCACATGACACGGTGCCGGGGGGTCACATGGCCAACACCCAAGAAATCCTCATTTCATTCATTTGAAAATCCAAAAGGCACAGTACCGGGCAGGCATGGGCGCTCAGGCCTGTAATCTCAACATTTTGGAAGGCCAAGGTGGGCGGATCACCTAAGGTCAGGAGTTTGAGACCAGCCTTACCAATATGGTGAAACCCCATCTCTACCAAAAATATAAAAATTAGCCGGGCGTGGTGGCGCATGCCTGTAATCCCAGCTATTTGGGAGGCTGAGGCAGGAGAATCAATTGAACCCGGGAGGCGTAGGTTACAGTGACCCGAGATAGTGCCATTGCACTCCAGCCGGGGCAACAAGAGTGAAATTTGTCTCAGAAAAAAAAGAAAAGCACAGTCCCTATATCCCAGGGCCCTGAAACACAGAGGTCACCCACCACCTCCCATTGTTCTTTCCCTGGGGCAAGGAGGCTCTGTGGTATAGTGGTTAGGCACACAGCTCTGGAGTCAGTATCAGGTCTGAGGTTGCATGTGAGACACAGCTCAGTCACTTGCAAGTATGGTGTTCAAGACAGTATGACCTTGAACAGGTTACCTCCCTGAGCCTCAGTTTTCTCATCTCTAAAAGGAGACTAGACCAGGCCGGGCGTGGTGGCTGAAGCCTGTAATTCCAGCACTTTGGGAGGCTGAGGCGGGCAGATGATCACTTGAGGTCAGGAGTTCAAGACTAGCCCGGCCAACATAGTGAAACCCCATCTCTACTAAAAATACAAAAATTAGCCTGCAATGTCAGCACTTTGGGAGGCCAAGGTGGGCAGATCACGAGGTCAAGAGATTGAGACTATCCTGGCCAACATGGTGAAACCTTATCTCTAATAAAAATATAAAAATTAGCTGGGCATGGTGGTGCATGCCTGTAGTCCCAGCTACTTGGGAGGCTGAGTCAGGAGAATCGCTTGAACCTGGAAGGCGGAGGTTGCACACGCCACTGCACTTCAGCCTGACGACACAGTAAGACTGTCTCAAAAAAAATAAATAGATAAAAATTTAAAAATTGGCCAGGCGCAGTGGCTCACACCTGTAATCCCAGCACTTTGGGAGGCCAAGGCGAGTGGATCATGAGGTCAGGAAATCAAGACCATCCTGGCTAACACGGCAAAACCCCGTCTCTATTTAAAAAATACAAAAAAAATTAGCCAGGTGTGGCGGCGGGCGCCTGTAGTCCCAGCTACTCGGGAGGCTGAGGCAGGAGAATGGCATGAACCCGGGAGGCTGAGCTTGCAGTGAGCCGAGATCGCACCACTGCACTCCAGCCTGGGCGACAGAACAAGATTCCATCTAAAAAAAAAAAATTAGCTTGGGCTTGGTGGCATGTGCATGTAATCCCAGCTAGTCAGGAGGCTGAGGCAGGGGAATCATTTGAACCCCGGAGGAGGAGGTGACAGTGAGCCAAGATTGTGCCACAGCACTCCAGCCTGGGTGACAGAGCAAGACTCTGCCTTGAAAAAATTAAATAAATAAATAAATAAATAAATAAATAAATAAAATAAAATAAAAAATAAAAAAATAAAATAAAATAAAATGAGACTAGACTGGGCATGGTGGTTCAGATCTGTAATCCCAGCACTTTGGGAGGCCAAGATGGGAGACGCGCTTGAGCCCAGGAGCTTGAGACCAGCCTGGGCAACATAGCGAGACTCTGTCCTACCAAAAACAAAAAAAAAATGAGACTAATAGTAAGTACCTGCCACACCTGGCAGGTGGTGAGCTATTAGCCAGTGGTGGCCGCTGTTCCTTTCGTCATTAGCATCATGTGTCTGGGCTCCTGTCCTTAGAGTTGTAAGCCCTGAAGAAGGACAGGAATTGCTCACTTGAGGAGCTCCGCTTTTAAGACACAAGTCTGCCGAAGTTCCCAGCCGAATAAAGCTCCTTCCTTCTTTAACCCGGTGTCTGAGGAGTTTTGCCTGTGGCTCGTCCTGCTTCACTGCTATGCCTCAGCCCTCGGCCTCTGGGTGCCTTCTGCTCCATGCTGTGCCCCAAAGGGGGCATATTCACATTATCTCATTAAATCCTTACTTCAACCCATTTCCAGATGAGAAAACTGAGGCTCAGAGAGATTGGGCTCTCACCTATTCAAGGTGACATGCTTCAGGGAAGTGGTGAGCCCACAGCTCATTCCACTTTCACCAGCAGCCTCCCAATAAGTGACTGAAGGGCAAGGCCGAAGCATTTGCACTTTGAGGCTCTACTACTGTATCGAGGTCAGACCCAGAATGCCACGGTGCTGTACAAATGCTCATCAGTCCAGGCTGGACCGCTCATGCCCAACTAAGATGGAAAAACCAAGAAACAGGGCAGAAAAGATAAATGTTGCCAAGTTGCAATGGCAAGCAAGCCAGATTTGGGCAAAACTAAACCAGCCACTGGCTGGGTGCGGTGGCTCACGCCTGTAATCCCAACACTTTGGGAGGCCGAGGCAGGTGGATTGCTTGAGATCAGGAATTCTAGACCAGCCTGGCCAACGTGGTGAAACCCCATCTGTACTAAAAATACAGAAATTAGCTGGGCGTGGTGGTGGGTGCCTGCAGTACCAGCTACTCGGGAGGCTGAGGCACAAGAATCACTTGAAACCAGGAGGCAGAGGTTGCAATGAGCTGAGATAGCACCATTGAACTCCTGGGTGACAGAGAGAGACTCTGTCTCAAAAAAAAAAAAAAACTAAACTAAACCGGCCAGCAGCAGAGAGCTGCCACTACAAACCACAGGGATGCCCACTCTTCTCCCTCTAGGCAGCCTCCAAAAATCCCCACTACAGGCTGCACACCTGCCTATCAGAGCAGGGGGAAGCCACAAATACAAATACCCCTGGGCCAGCATGTCCAGCCCTGCACGCCCAGCTCAGCAGAGGGGGCCCCAGATGTCCTTGGGGGACTGAACTGAATTATTCTGTGCCCTATCCTGACCACGGCCCTAACAGTTGGGGGAAGGGGACAGGATATCAGCTCCTGGCACCAGGTGACACCTACCCTTGGCTCACCATCCCCAAAGTTCTCCCCCATAGTCCTGCTGGGTTCTGTGGGTTCCAGGAGGTCATATCTGAACCCCATGTATGTGTCCACTACTTCCACCCAATTCTCCAAAAAAAAAAAAAATGACTGAATTCCTCTTAGAAATCTGGATGCTAGGCCGGGCGCGGTGGCTCAAGCCTGTAATCCCAGCACTTTGGGAGGCGGAGGCGGGCGGATCACAAGGTCAGGAGATCGAGACCACAGTGAAACCCCGTCTCTACTAAAAATACAAAAAATTAGCCGGGCGCGGTGGCGGGCGCCTGTAGTCCCAGCTACTCAGGAGGCTGAGGCAGGAGAATGGCGTGAACCCGGGAGGCGGAGCTTGCAGTGAGCCGAGATCGCGCCACTGCACTCCAGCCTGGGCGACAGCGTGAGACTCCGTCTCAAAAAAAAAAAAAAAAAAAAAAAAAAAGGTATCTGGATGCTAGGCCGGGCGCGGTGGCTCAAGCCTGTAATCCCAGCACTTTGGGAAGCCGAGACGGGCGGATCACGAGGTCAGGAGATCAGGAGATCGAGACCATCCTGGCTAACACGGTGAAACCCCGTCTCTACCAAAAAATACAAAAAACTAGCCGGGCGAGGTGGTGGGCGCCTGTAGTCCCAGCTACTCGGGAGGCTGAGGCAGGAGAATGGCGTAAACCCGGGAGGCGGAGATTGCAGTGAGCCGAGATCCGGCCACTGCACTCCAGCCTGGGCGACAGAGCAAGACTCCGTCTCAAAAAAAAAAAAAAAAAAAAAAATAAAATAAAAAGGAAATCTGGATGCTAACAGCTTCAGCATCTGGCCACCTGGACTCCAATCTTGGCTCACAGACCCTGCGCCAGAGTCTTCACTTCCCTGAGCCTCAGTTTCCTCATCTGCAAAATGGGATAATAATGGTGCCTGTCTCTAGCATGAGCATTAAATAAAATACCCCGTGCTAAGCTATATGCCTGGATATGGTGTGGCAGAAGCTGCAATGTGCTCACCACAAAGCATTTCCGATTCTCTTAGGAATATGGCTAAAAGCCATTTCCCAGACTCCTGTGCAGTCAGGTATGGCCTTGTAGTCAAGTTCTGGTCCATAGAATTAAAACAGAAAGAAAGCATGCTACTTTAGGCTTGGCCCATAAAATTATTTCTCTCCTTCCTGCTCCATCAGCTAGAAGGAAATAGCTCCAAGGTCCTAGGGGATGCTGGAACCACAAGACAGAAGGGATCTGGGTCCCTGGGTCACCACATAGAAAGCCACCGGCCAAACGCCCAGCAGGACTTTGCATGAATGAGAAATAAACTTCCATTGTGCTAAGCCTCTGAGGATTCAGGGTTTCACTATCACATTAGCTAGTGTTACCTTAATTACTACCAGCAGTTAAACAGCGGGTAAGCGTTGGTTATTACTACTGTTATCATTACTGTCATGAGTATTATTGGCTCTTTCTAGTACCCTGTGCCTTGTTCTAGATGCTGAGCCATTATTTGGTGACCAAACACAGAAGAGATACCCTTTGTACCCTTCCCTCCCCACTACCACCCTCCAAACCTGCCTTTTGCCAGGGTTAGCGGCAGGAACTAGCCAAAAAGCTCCTCAGAGATTACTCATTTCAAACATAGCAGTACCTCTTATCCGCTTACCCCTTCTTTATCCTCCTGCTGCTGACTGGAAATTATGACAAAAATATTGAACCAACCACGAGCCATTCCCTGTGCCCAAAACATTACATCTGTCCCTTACCTGCTTTAACATTCCCGGCACCACTCTACTCACTTTACAGATGACAGCATGAAGTCTCAGCAAAGTTACATAATTGGCTCCAATGCACCCAGCCACAAAGAGCTCAAGTCACAGCCGCGACCTAAGTGTGCCTGATTCCAAAGGGTTTTTGGTTTTTTTGTTTATTTTGTTTTGTTTTGGAGATGGAGTCTCGCTCTGTCACCCAGTCTGGAGTGCAGTGGCACGATCTCGGCTCACTGCAACCTCTGCCTCCTGGGCTCAAGCAATTCTCCTGCCTCAGCCTCCTGAGTAGCTGGGATTACAGGTATGCGCCACCGCACCCAGCTAATTTTTTTATTTTTAGTAGAGACAGGGTTTCACTATGTT